AGAAAAGTATTTACTTTTCCTTTATTTGTCTGTTTGTAGTGTGGAATTGTACATAGATATTTACTAAATAGCTTTGTATTTTCTAACGTCGAAAAAAACTATAATCAATTTTCATTTGCAGTTGGTGTAAGTGGTCATCTGTCATTTATCTTTAATACCTAAAATGCTTTGAGTATAGGGGACATATCAAGTTTCTTTCAGTGAATACAGTGTCGTCAACTTAAATGACATGTCCAAATGTATGTAGGTATATATATACAGGTACGATCTGACCATTGGTTTCCCTGATGTAACATGCTTTATTATTAAAAAAACGACTGACTAATGAGCTCATACCGTAGGCGAGACACAAATCCCACATAGACTCCGAAAAAATTTCCGAATCGAACCCAGAATAGCACATGCAAACAGTTGGTGAAGTTTCCACTGAACCAAGAGTTCGTAAAGACTGTCCATGGGACTATTAGTGACTTTGTTAGGGTTCTGGGAATTGGTTATATTTAGACAATGGCATTAAATGCTTGGAGGCACGCGATGTGTTATGACAAATGAAATGTGGCACGTGTAAGCTTTACGGGTCTGGTCATATGGCTGTTAGTGGTGCTATTCTTAGGAAACGCACAATGCACTATTTCTGTGGTAGGGCCACAACAGTCTCTGTTCACGAATGGGGTGGTGTTCTACTTCTGCGTTTCTTCTGGTGAGTGAGGTAGCTAAGGCCAACTTTATTAAAAGGTGGCAACGCATCGGGCGGCGGTTGTCACATAGCATCAGGTGAACCGCCAGCTCGTTTGCCATCTTCATGCCTGTCTGTCTGTCCCTATATACACTTAGATCTTTAAAACTACGCAACTGATTTTAATGCGGTGCTCTTTAATAGATAGAGTGATTCAAAAGGAAGGTTCATATGTATAATTCATGCATAATACAGTAGAGAAAGACTGATAATTTTAGAGGTTTCTAACGCGATGTCGAAAACAAACATTCAGCATTGCCCCGTGCGAAAGCGGGCGGGCGAGTCAAACATAAAGAAAATATCTTTGTGGTTTAATATATTGGGATAGATGTGTATTTGCAAGCAATTCTGGTATTCATGTATGGATTATGCAGTTTAACACCAGCTGCAAAACGTGTTATATTAACTTAATGTTAAAAGTTGTCAACCCTGAAGGCCGTTCACCTGATGTATGCAATGTGTCTGTATGTATAAATTGCCTCTTAATTACCGACCGAGCTATTATAACTTTTTTTCTCGGCGAAATTTACCGTCATATTCGAATGATATTTTTCATTTCCTGAAAACAGGAATAAAAGAACATTTTCTAAAAATGAAACCTACCTAGATCGATTTTTTACCCCCGAATCTACGCACATACTAAATTTCATGATATATATATATATATATATATACAATAATTGCTCATTTAAAGGGTAAGATTGTTATTTAGCTGACATAAATAGACATTGTTTGTTTTATGTAATACATTCATACTTCAACTATGAACATGACAGATGCGTCTTCATCAATTATTGTTTTATCATATCATAATTATTGCATAAATATTTTAGATTTCTAAGACTACATACAATGCTATACTACATACAATACACATATGTAGTTAATTTTGTAAAATGTTTCTGTTGAAATAGAATTAACCGAACTTTAATACCTTATTCATAAACTTAACGAGATAGCATATGATTGTGTACTATCAAATAATCTCTGTATTGATAAACTGAAAGATATCTTTTTTCAATTAGGCGACAACCTTGACATAATAATTGTGTTCCTTGCCATTCAAATATCGTAGACCAGATGAAAAAAATGACGGTCAATATCCATTTTAATGATGTGAAATTAATCATAATATAGTTTTATTTTCTTTTATTTCGCCTTACCCCCAATTGGTCCAAAGGAAGGAAAGTCGTTCTTCGAACTAAAGTCTGAGAGTCGAATCCATCCCATGGGAGATGGTCTTCGCTTATCTTTGGTGCCACGTCAAGTTAATGTTCTTTACATATAATAAAAAAATAAGTAGGGCATAATGAGAACAATCATTTTAATTTCTCAATCATAAACACTTAACACACAACGATAATCGTTGGGTAAGAAAGGTTCTCGAGTGGCAGTCTCGTATTGGTCATCGTAGTGTAGAACGACCCCAATATAGAATGACGACATAAGCAAGTGTGCGAGAAGTCATGGATGAACACAGTTGACAGTTGAGGATTCTGCTTCTGTCGAGGTCTTTTCTGTTGTCTATGCTCAGCACTTGAATGGGCTGAAATGATTCTAAATGATGAAACACTTCTTTTCAACCGACTTCCAAAACGGGGAGGTTCTCAATTCGACTGTTTATTTCTTATTTTTTTCCGGCTCGAAGGACCAGTTGTTTCTTCTTAGGTGTTTAGAAGATGTATGTAGGCGCCAGTAAATGATAAAAAAGTCCTTTTTGCTACAAAATCTTTATGTACGATAAAAAGGAAAGGAGTGAGTCGTCCGTTACAATTTTAAAAGCCCCAGTTATCTCTCTGCCCCGTATAATGTTGCCTCGGCTGTTTACGGTGAACACGTTCCATTCCTGGGTATGAACGGTTGCGTTCATAACAGTTTGTTACCTCAGAACTCTCGGCTGAGTGAACTGGTTTTGATGATTCTTTTTTTATTTGAAAGCTGGGTCTTCCCATGTGGTCCCATATTAATATCATTTGTATTGGATCTTGGGCTCCGGAGATACGTAGGGATACGTTGAAAATCAATTATAAAATGAACGGTGTTCTTTTGCGTTAATAAAAAAAAATGTTAAAAAATGAAATTCTGAATCTTGCCCGGAATATTTCAGAATTCTTGAAATGTCAAAGTTTTTTGTTTATAACATTCTAAGATGATTATGTGGCGCAGTTTCTAATATCTTAGATCAAGCGCTGAGGGTCCTGGATTCGATTTCTACAGGCGACAAGTATTTGTGTCACCCACCGGTAATTATTCATAATCGGGGTGTTCATTCGCAAGGAGGGTTGACGTCAGGCAGGTTGATGGTCGTAAATAACGAAGCCAAGACTAATTAAGTCATGTTTGACCCCGTATACATGTGACAAGGGCGGGAGGATGATACGTGTGTAAAATACCTTGACGAAGTAAAGAATATTTAAAGGTTGACAAGCAGATACCGCTGAAACGGTGGCACATTTTACTTAAAAAATGTATGGAAATGTGTTACTAAACATAAGACATGTTCACCAGGGCGCACGTATTTACGCCGTTATTATAATTTTATATATGCAGATACATTACTACCATCCAATCGGCGTAGTGTATACTTGCTCTACACTCGCAAGTCCCTTGGCACCTGGTAATTTTATACTTAAAGACTTTTGTGTTAATACTTATAAAAAAAGATAATACCGTAGTACATATTATCTATTATACCTAAGTCCTTAGAGACTATAAAAATTTATAATTTCTAAAAAAGCAATGGCGACATCTCTCGTTCGAATTATCATTGTAAAACGATATTCGAAATTGTTTGTACATATGGAAAGGATATAACAATGAATGTGTCAAGCATTGCTTCAAATGCTAAAAGACAATGTAGATAGAAGGCGTTAGGATTTTCGTCGGTGTGGCAATCAGCCGTTTAGCTTAGCGGTTAAAGCGTCTGGCCGCGAATGCCGAACACATGGGTTCGATTTCCACAACGGCGACAATCTTTTCGTACTTTTTCTACATATTTTAATGCAAATGATATTATAAGTGTGTTTGCTGACCTGCCTGAATAAAGCCAATACATCAGAAATACACCACAGTACACCAGATCATCAATGTATTGCCTATTATCATTTATTGTTTTAAAATATCGCTTATATAATAATATTGTGGCGACACAATGTAATATGATGTATTATTCGAACGCCCCATGCGCCTTACATTGTGCAGCGCAGTACAGTTCATCGCCAGTAGCTAGCGAACGCACACTGTCATGTGAATATCTTGTAGAGTTAATAATAAATAATATATAATAGTAGCGTAGTATTTATCTCATCTCCTCGTCACAATAGGGCATACAAATATATCTCTAACCCTATAATATTAATAAATATTTTAGGAAACTTTTTTACACAACGTTCTCTAGTCCCAAACTAAGCAACGCTAGTACTATGGGTATTAGATAACTGATAAACATAGGTAAACACACTTTTCTTTTGTGAATAAATACATATTATGCATATATAAATAGTGAACATAGTGATTTTCCAATGGAACACTGGAAAAACACTATGTTCATCTCATCATACTTTTCTACCACACTTTCCAGTAGTGGGGGTCGAACCCACACCCTCCGATGCAGGAGGCAGACACAAACCACTACGCTATTCGGGTAGTCATATAGTCATGTGACTGCCCGAATGGCGTAGTGGTATATATTATATACATATATACAATCGTCATATATATAGTATATGTATGTTTAGTGAGCTTATGAATCAGTTATTTTGCTTACTCATATGATGCAAAAAGTGTAGTAGAATTCGCTACAAACGCAATGAAATGCGTAAGACAAATGACAGCCAATTGAAACAAATTACCCGGCGTGCATAAGGGAAAATTACAACGGAAAATACTATCCGCCAATTTAAAATACAATAGTAATGCAGTTACCGTAATCAAAACGTTATTATTACCTTGTTTTCCGTTCTCTAGTTGGGGGAACAGCAAGAATCGAATCGACCAATTTGGGTAAAATTTCAAATCAAAGATCAAGATTCAAGTTTCCGTGAATTTCACAAATTCTTAATATTTCACAGACGAGACATCCTCACACCATTTAGTTTCAACGTCAAACGCCAACCTAACCAAAAAATTAGCGCTTCCAATTACGGTTAACAATAAATGACGTGACGATGGGACGTGAACGAAGTACGACCTTATACCAATTGTAAGGAGAGAGCCGAAAACGGGCGTAACGTCCACGCGTTAATTAAACTCCTGTTATTTGCAGTGTTTCGTGACGCTGGGCGTGTCGCTGAACATGGCTGGCCACGGCTTGGTGATGGGCTTTGCGGCTATACTGCTGCCTCAGCTGAGGAGGGCCGACTCCATAATCCCCATAGATGATTCCTCAGGCTCATGGATAGGTAAATACACGAACGTTTTATACTTTGAACTGCTTGAAGACTTACGTTACTTTTCGATGTCAAAAACTATGTATATTATCGTTTATTTATCATAGTGCAAGTGACTGACGTATTACGTGCTCGGCGGTGAAGGAAAACATCGTGAGGAAACCTGTATATTTTCGAAATAAAAATATATAACAATAACAAAAAAATTTTTTGAAGATATGTGAAGTCCATCAATCCGCAGTGCGGCTACGTGATGGATAATGCCCTGATGGACAGAGGAGGCTTTTGCCCAGCAGTGGGACATGTATAGATTGTTACTTTATGTTTATGATGTATCGCCTTTAAGAGAATGGAACTTTAAATACAATGTCATTATTTTTCCCATTCGTAAACTCAGTTTAGCTTCAGCGTTTCCTCTTTCCTAACATAGTTTTTTATTTTCGCATCTTTATCTCACTTCCATATATATTTTCTATTTCCACTAAATAAAAAAGTAAAGTAAGCTTGTACTTGAATTTCTCACGCACTATGACGCAACTTTGTCTTATCATTACATAGTATAAAAAAGTCGTCCCGCTGTCTGTCCCTATATATGCTTAGATCTTTAAAACTGCGCAACGGATTTCGATGCGGTTTTCTTTAATGGAGTGATACAAGAGGATGGTTTATATGTATAATTCATGCATAACATAGTAGAGATACACTGATAATTTTAGAGCTTTCTAATGTGATGTCGAAAGCAAACATTCAGCATTGCACCCGGGCGAAGCCGGGGCGGGTCGCTAGTATATTCTATAAAATAAATAAACTCACTTCGAAGTACTGATAAATATAGTTTATAATTCCATATCTAGCATAAACACTCCTACTTTTATTTTTTTAGCCTCAATCTTGGGATTTGCGCTGGTCGCGGGGAACTTCATAGTACCGACAATAATGGCAAAATACGGAAGACGAACCGCTAACCTGGTCAGCATAGTGCCTTTGATAGTCGGCTGGTTCTGCATCATCACCGCCACCAACATAACGGCTCTCCTTATCGCCAGGTTCCTCCAGGGGCTCGCGATGGGCATGAGCGCTTCGCTAGGACCCGTACTGATCGGAGAATACACCAGTCCAAACAACAGGGGTGCATTTTTAACCACCATATCCCTTACGATCGCGACCGGTGTCCTTATCGTCCACACCTTAGGGTCCTATTTGATCTGGCAGAAGGCGGCTATTGTCTGCGCTTGCATAGCATTTGCCGACTTGCTAATTGTAATATACTCTCCGGAATCACCCAGTTGGCTGGCGGATCAAGGGAGGTACGAAGATAGCGAGAAGGTCTTCAGATGGCTAAGAGGCGACGGGGAGGAGGAGGAATTACAGAGGATGATTGAGACAAGTATGGTGATTAGAGAGTCCAAGCAGGACGCGAACATATCCCAGTCGTTTTCAAAAAGACTCAGAGGGCAGATGGCGTACATTAGTGCCACGATAAAGAAGAAAGAATTCTACAAACCTATATTCATAATGATCCACATTTACACGTTAGGTCAGTGGGCTGGGGCTAACATACTGGCTTCTTACACATTAGACATCTTCTCCCACGTGATCGGTAACGATGCGAATATCTCCTTGCTGGTTATCACGTTGGACGCCCAGCGGATCATCTCCAACAGCGCCGCGGTCTACGTCATAAAGAAGATCAAACGGAGAACTATGCTCTTCATAACGGTCGGCATAAATCTATTCGCGTTTGTCGCCACAGCCGCTTACACTTACGCGAAGGGTCAAGGAATGCTCCCGTATGACCATCCGTTCATCGGAATCTTGCTAATTCACATCCACATGTTCTCCATTGCAACAGGGACTGTGCCGCTGCCCTTCATCATAGCTGGTGAAGTGTTCCCGCTGGAGTACAGGAGCCTCGCTGGGGGTTTCAGCGTCCTGTTCCTCTCATCGAATCTGTTCATCACAGTGAAGACGGTGCCTTATCTATTCAAGACCCTAGGAATTCACGGCGCTTACCTGATTTACGCGGTCGTGGTGGGCTATTGCCTGGTGGTGGCGTGGTGGTTCCTGCCGGAAACCAAAGACCGGACTCTTCAGGAGATCGAGGACGAGTTCAGAGGCAGGCCGATGTCCCCCGAAGAACTCAAGTCCACACAATCGCTCACGTCTTTGAAGTACGTGAATAAAGACAGAAGATGCAGTAGCCCTGTGATTTAAGTAGTGAATTAACTTGATAGAAATAATTATTTTATGATGAAATGGTTGTCCAATTTATACCGATAAAGAAATTGGTGTAAGTTAGAAACGGAGACCGGAGAATTTTATCATAAGACTATGAAGGTCTTTTATTGGTGTCTCCCAAGGTACGTCACTTGCCTGATCTGCAAACATGTCTATCCAGTTTTTGTCAATCGCTTTACGCAGTATTTACACCAATTTATATACATAGTCCAGCTTAGGCTGTTCTATGTCATTCATTACTTCTGTATGTGGCTTATTCTTGCCTTATCTAATGTTAGTACATAAATTAAAGTTTACTAAGTGGGTATTACAACAACAGTAGCAATTCAATGTTTGATACGATTCACTTATGTATATCTCAGTGTTGTAGTTCAGAAACTTCGTTGTCCTATTGGATATTGACATAAATAAATTATTCCAGTATAGCCAAAAATGTTGGGTAAAAAATAATTATTACTAAATATTTTGCTTACTACATACTACATATTCAATGTTAATTCAGTTACTTTAATTAATGACGAAACTAAAAAAAAATAGTTTTAATTATTAATGTTGAATATTGTGGCTGTGTATTTTTTTTTAATATAAAACTTTTTCTCTATTTTCTTAGACGTTAAATCAATCATATCTTTATATTATAGTGGCGGCTGTTATCAAAATTGTTGACAGGTATTTTTATTTTGTTAGAAATTGTAAGATCATGTTTTTTACATGTTGTCATGGCCCTTATTAAAAAGGGGGTCATTTTTGTTCTAACAGAAAGCCATAATTTATGAAGTGATAGGTACGTCTAGTTGTAAGGATTCCATTAATTTCCTTTTTCGTACCATTATTATTACGGACAAATAAAGATTGTTAAAAAATATAAATTTTGATAGAAGCGTTTTGGAGTACGTTTCGTGTTAAAGGAATATTGGAACTATCGATGTAAAAGAAATCTATGTCATATTATAGTACTCAACAACTTGACATACCGACATGACATTATCAAAATATAACTGGCACTTTCAGACAATGCCTTAATGCAAAAGGAATATTAAAATGCTGCTTATGATATTATGTATTTACCTCATTATTAAACGTACGAGGGAAAACATTTACTTTTAAATTAAATGTATAAGTACATAGTATAAGGTATTATTTTTATTTTAATAAAATTATATTGTTGAGTATTGATTAATTCAAATCTCGTATTTCCTTAAACGGGTGTGGTATTAAATGTCCTTTTGATTTATAAGTTCTAATACAATTTCTGCGACAGAAGATGAATAAAAGAAATTTAAAGAGAAATTTAAAAAAAAATCTAATTCGGTAAAATTAAACATTTAATAAATCATAAATTTTTATAGTGCAGAGATTAGCACTATAAAAAACTTTAAAATTCATTTAACGCATGTTATTTTGATTGCTTTAGGCGTTTTGCCTAAAATTATCTTTAACCGCTGCATAATTGTTAGTTACACTTCGGTCATCAAATCTGCGTAATTGCTACTAAATAACTAAGGCGCGTTCGTATGCTGTGTATGCTTTAAACTTTTAGCAGTTCAATTGCCATTGAAGAATGCTGTGTATAAAAAACTTTTCTAGACATTCTTATGGCCTTGTTTCTGTTGAATTTTTCTTTCTTCTAAAAGAAATACACATCAAATAAATAAAAACAATTGGTATATATTTTTATGTCAGTGTTAGGTTATAGGTTCATCGATTATGGGCATCTACAATAACTGTAACTGTAAACCGGGTAACAGATGCGTTGTCAACTTCAAAGAGGTTGGGTCCCAGATGCCTAGCTTACCAGACGAAATGCAAAACTATGAAATTTCGTTTTTGCCGCTTCTCTATGAAGTAAAATCTCTATATTTATACGTGTGATCTCGGACTAGATTTATAGTAACTGGATGACCGAGCTTTGCTCAGTTTTTTCTCACAAAAGAAGGGACTTGAAAAAAAAAAGGGAAAAAAAAAATGGTCGATTGTGGTGAAATTTACCTTCTAATGATTTTGTAGCAGTTTTCCATTGCCTGAACCTAGCTAGATTGATTGCCCGAACCCCACTGCATACATGAAAATCGTATATGTATATAATGTTTGATATCTTGTATATATATATATCTATATGTATAAAAGAATTGCTCACACTGTCGTTATGAGTTTCGTTTTCGTTACTTAATAAGCTCCGTTAATTAAAGTCACATGACATGACATCTTTCAGTTTGTATTTCCTGTACCGCCTGCCAACGTAGTAATATGTAACCTCGCGACTTCATCACAAGACGGCCATTGGCAAAACTTCAAGCGTCATGTGAAACTTTTCGACTGAAACTTTTCGACTATCGCTGGCAGAGTACCAATACTGTTTTTAATCTTTCCAGTCTGACCATTCAGAAAGTCACTGTCGGTCGTCAGATGGTATAGATACGTGGTATTGCAGTACCAGGTCTCTTGACTTACTAGAAAAATATCAGGTGTCTCTTTTGAAATGCACTCAAGCAATCCAAGGTCCGAGAAAATTTTGTTCGTTGACCATCCGCAACCAATAACATCACCAATGACACGAATAATCCACCTTCGTCGGGGAATTAGGCCACAGAAGACTCATTTTTATGAGTTCGCATTTCGCCTGTCGAATATGCTAACTGGCGGCTAAATCTTTGGTTGGCAACACTTTTGGTATTGAGTATCCTAGAGGCGCAAGCCCCTATTATGTTCAGCTGAAGTTGAAACGCTTGTACAACCTCCTTTGATATGCAAAAATGCAATGACCAAACCTCGGAAATTACTACATTTATTGCTTTTATACCAGAAGTGGCTATGGAGTAGGGTTCCTGGGTCCCCAAAAATTCGGGCTTTTTCTGATCGACGTTTAGAACTAATTAAGCGATTTTTCACAGGTTCTTTCTAACGTATTTACTTATTAAAATTAGCATTTCAAATGACAACAAATTGTGTCATATTTTTTTTTTACTAAGGTGTTTTGTCGTGTGTTATCTAATCAATTTATTTACCTCTGAATTTTATGAATCCGTTTTTATTAATATGAACTGCTTGGATTTTGTTTTTGTAAAGGCTTTATGCAGAAATGGTAAGTGCTTAGGCTTTTTATGAAAATCAGCATTACTTTTTGAGACTACTTTTTCATACGACTTTGATCCGTATATTAATTGATTCTATTTTCTTAATTTTATAATCTTTAATGCTAGTCTCTGCACTTGAGGTGAAATAAAAAATATGTCGATAAATATGTTGCAATTTTTGCAAAAAATAGACGAAGGTTCTTCGCTGCTGCAGGAATCTAACCCACGCCTTCCGGATTCGCTCCCAGACGCTTTAATCACTAAGCTAAACGGCTGATTACCACACCTATGAATATCTCAACGTTTTATTTACATTGCTTATTAGCATTTCAAGTAATGCTTGACGCATCTATTTTTATATCCTTTACAGCATAGAAACAATTTTTTTAGTGCCAATCTATGGACTTAAAATATTTTTTTTATTATTTTATTTATTTGGTTTACCATCAATTGTTACATTTATACATAGATTAGGATTAGTACACAGTATATTTCTATAGCTAAATGCACAATTAATTAAAGGTAAACACCACATGCGAAGTATATCAAGTAACACCAATAAACTTAACAATAAGAAATGTGTACAGAATACAATTTAAAAAAAAAGGCAGTGAAAAAGAGTTTTTAAAAATGTTTGAGACTTAATTAAAAATATATGCTATACGACTAAACTACTCATCGACAATGGTTTCTTGCAAGTGCTTACGAAAGGTATTGAGACTAACAGCATGAATATCAGTTGATTTTCTATAATTATTCAAAAGTCGGCTCGCTCTGGGGACAAACGAGCTTGAGCCCAATACTGTTGTGCGTAAAGGTGGAACCAATGGTTGGATTTGGGTTCTAGGTAGCTTATTCGGTACATTGAATCTAAATTTACTTAACAGGTTAGGACAATCTATTTTATTGTTAAATAATTTGTTTAAAAATGAAACATTTTTCACAAATATAAAATATGTAGAAATAAATGTTTCATATTGTGTTCAGGGATTATCAAATAATATTTATTCATGATAAACTATAAGTTTATTCTTCTCACCATGACAAGGGTTGACTGGTAGAGAATGCGATTAGGCATTAAGTCCGCCCATTGTAGCTTTTATTTAGCCTAAGGTGTAACAATGAAATATAAATAAATTAATTAAAAAAATACTTTTATGATATTGAGGAGAAAGTTTCTCTTACTTCCTCAGGCAAAATCAGAGTTGATTAAAAACTTTGCCGGCTTCAACGAAAAGTATACTCTGTTTATGAAGAGTTTCATACTAAGGTATAGGCAAACTACGATGAAAGAATTCATATTTCTTCTTCGTTTCTTTTTTGCAGGGTTTCGCTCACCAAAACCACAATTCACAATGACACAACACTGATAAACCAGCTAAGTCAATATAACGGTAACTGCATAGCGTGTTAGTCTGATTCTACAAGGATTTATTTTATAGCCATAATAGCTGGGCGATCTTTTTTACTGTATTTTTCCTGTAAAATCATGTTCCTAGGCTTATATCCAATCGGCCCTGTAGTCCCGGGCTCATAGGATAAGGCTAAGGTGGGATACCTTAGCCTTATGTAAAAGGGGACATGGATTGGCAGCAGTACGAAGTGGTTTCCAGCTGCTACAAGATGGCGAGGGAATTGGGGAACTAAAAATTGGGGAATTAAATTGCGTCTTTTAAGGAAGAACTTATCATAATTTGATATCCTTAGAGCCCTTTTCGGACACAGGAAATTAATATTTATATTACTTTATTTTTATGAATGAAAAATAATACATTAGGGATTAGAGAAGAAAAAAAAATGCAGTTTATTGTTATTTGATTTAATAAAACAAAAATAAAATAGAATAAAATCATGTACAAAAAAGATGCTCTGTAAGGTTAAAAGAGAATCAACATTTGTATGACTAAGAAAACATAAAGGAAGAGAATAATAGAGTAAGAAAAATTAGTTAGAACAGTTAAAAATCGACCAAGTGTGAGTCGGCTTGCGCACGAAGAGTTCCGTAGCATTATCTATTGTATTATTAACAATTCGGCTTTCGAACTAGACACTCCTGTCCCGACCAATTATACCGCCTAACGGAACACATCCTGAAAGGCTTAAATCATCCGAAACATATTAGCACGGGGGCTCTTTTCTTCGATGTCGCGAAGGCATTCGACAAGGTCTGGCACATAGGCTTGCTTTACAAGCTGTACACACTGAAAGTGCCAGATAGGCTCGTACACACCATCCAGGCCTTCCTGTCGAACCGATCTTTTCGATATCGGGTTGAGGGCACCCTCTCCACAAGCCGCCGCCTCACGGCAGGCGTTCCACAAGGCTCCTGCCTCTCACCCTTACTCTTCACGCTCTACAAGAGCGACATACACAAAGACCTCCACGTCAATCTCGCGCTTTTCGCGGATGACACGGCGCTCTTTTACACAGATAAAAATCTCAATCAACTCACTACTCGTCTCCAGAGCGCCGCCGACCGCCTCGGAAATTAGTTCCGCAAATGGAGAATAGAAGTAAATCCCGAAAAGAGTGTGGCGATTCACTTCACACGAAGTACTTACCCGTCACATCTTTATAATGGCCCTCGCCAATGCAGAAAGTTGGGGCAAATATCCCTTTATGGCCAACCGCTCCCCTGGGAGAAAAAGGTCAAATACTTAGGAGTCACTTTCGACTCGCGTATGTCATTTACTACGGACATTAATAACGTTCGTAATCGAGCCGCGTCCGTCTCCGGTCGGCTACACAATTTAACTAACGCTAAAAGTAAAATGCCCTTAAGGAACAAATTATTATTATATAAGACCTGCGTACGACCCATTATGTCCTACGCATGCATGACCGTCGCCCACACGCACCCTACTCGCTTGTACAAGCTGCAAATAGTACAAAATAAGATCATCCGCCGTGCAACCGGTGCGCAGTGGTATCAACGCAACGTCGATCTGCACAGCGATTGCAGACTCCCGACGATTCGCGAATATTTTAAAGACCTGACCAAACGGTTCTTCGATAGAGCCGAACATCATCCCAACCCTCTGGTGGTAAGCGCAGCAAATTACCAACCCAACACAAACGCGAACGTCAACAAGCGTCGCCCGCGAAACGTCCTCATCGACCCGGTCGAGGAAGGGGACTTAGATACGCCGGACCCACCGACGGGGGTCCCGCCGGATAGCACTACACCCACAGCTAGTGTAACAACAAACACAATAGTTCGTCCTCGCCTCCGAGCACGGCGAGACAACGCAACGCGTACACAAGGTACATCCGCGATCCAGGGCGGTTCTCACCGCCCCCAGCCACCGATTAGCTAAAAACACAGTCGACGGCCATCGGGGTCTCGGTCCGCACCGCAACTTCGATGACCCTTAGATAACATGTCGTAGTTAAACGCACGCATGAGCACATGCGCGGCCCTACCCACAGCGGAGGGCCCAAACCCGTGGGTTCTGGCTAGCCCACCGGTTCTGTGTCAGATGAAGGTTTAATAGTCTCGGGACTGAAAGCAAAAACATCAGTTAATACAAGACAAGACAATCGACTTTTCGTGTCTTCTATACTTCCTATAACTTTTTTTTTTCTCCCTTTGTTATCGATATAGGTGGTTCTGTTTTTAACGCTGCTCTTTCACTATCAGAGAATATCGATAACTATTAACGTTCAAAATGTTATCTACTCTTATGCACTGCGCTCGCAAATTTCAGAGTATCGATTTTGGTTTGTGTGTGAGTTTTAAATTGTAAATCACCGCCTTATTCAAGTTTAGACTTATTTCATGTAAAATATAATTTACCTCTAAATGTATCATTAATGCCTTTTAATAGTTTAACATTTAATGTCACGTAACAAGTGTCATGTCCAAGTTTAATTAAAGTTCGAAACTCTTAAACTCAATCGAGCCTTTCAGACAAATGACTCTTTTTAATAACCAGTGGGCATTTTTCTACATGCTGCTCCTTCACAGCGGGCGTTCTTCAAGGCTTCTGCATATCTCCCTTGCTCTTTTCGCTCTACACGAGTTACTCAAATCTACGGACTGAAAGTGATTATGTAATTCAATAAAGACAAAAAGATAAACAAGCGATAAGGATAAATTAAAAATTGAATCATCCATCCGATAAATGTATGTTAAATACGCAATCTTACGTCAAAACAACCTAGGTGCAATTACTTAGCACTTTTTCCAAAGACAAAGTGAAACAAACATGTTTCATTACGTAATAAAAGGAGAAACAGATTTAGAATAGGAAAGTCACTCCATCATCATCATCATCATTTAGCCTGTTTGAGTCCACTGCTGAACATAGGCCTCCCCCACAGACTGCCATGAAGCACGATCCTGAGCCACCTGCATCCATCGACTTCCAGCACATTTGCACAAAGTCACTTAATGATGATAATTATAATGATTATAGTAGTTTATGCCAAACTTTGGTTGAGAAATATTTCGAATTAACGCAGCTGTATTAATTCTACCTTCCATATTAGTTTAAAAATAAAGTTTACTATTCAAATAAGGTTCATTTTTATGACATTTAATATTTTTTTTTTTCATATTCTGTTATACACGCTTTATATTGCGCGACCGTAATTCTCAACAAGCGATTTAGTTTGATTCAGCTGGTTTTATTAATTAGTTACTAATAATATCCATTAAGGCAAAAATAGGCCCTTTTGTTTTGAGTTTCTATTCCTAATTACAGTCAAATACTGTCATAGAATAGATGAATTATGTTAATTTGAATAAATGAGTTCTTAAAATGCAACATAATCATTAATTTATTATCCCATTTATCCTTTTACATGATCTATGTAAACCACTCCATCGTCCCCTAATTTAAAATGTTGACATTTTCTACATTCGTAATGTTAAATAATGTCGTAATGTAAAAATAAAAAAAAAATCATCTTAATAATTAGAATAGTAACAAGACAAAACAAATAGTCAAATCTTGTACCTGAGCATCTGATTCGTAAATAAATAGTACAAGAGATAATGTAATCTTATAATTATTGTTTGTGATAATAAACGACACTAATCCAGCATGCGCCATCTATGGTGCCTCGGTAGCGCAGTGTGGAACTGGCTTCCTTGGGACCAGCTCGGAGGACTTTGCTTAAGACATGGTATCGCCGATCGTTAGGCAGGTAACTAAACATTTTCTCTAACATGTATCTGTCATGTGTCCTACTATATACAGTTCCTACTGCTGGATGAATTAGCTGGCCAGACTGCGAACTCATAAAGACCGATCTAATTATGATGTCAAAGTGTTTATGATTTTGTGTAACCCCCTAAAGGTTAGCAATTCATTTGGGGCTGAGGTTTTGCGTCTCTTTAAATTGAAACAATAATATAAATAAAAATGGTATTACTGTTCTATTAATCCGTCCACAGTATACAATGGTAAATGTATACAATGCTCCTAGCAATTGTTTTTAATTATTTTCATTAAATACCTGGCTGGTTATATATATGGTTATATAAGATGGTGACACACAGTTCAGTGCAAGTATTTTAAACATTCTCCCTTTATAATAAGTGGTGCTAACGGTTGCTATCAAGATGGACATTAACGACAATAACGCCTGGGACTGAGTTAATTGCTCCCAAGCTATTTCTAAAAGGAAACAAAAAACCAGTTGTATAACATTTTAATTCTTTTAAGAAAAAAAATTTAGCCTTTTTCTTCTCCGCCAGAGAAACCTCATTACGAAACGGTGGTAGAATTAAAAAGAAATATGATAAATAGATAGATGAAATATAAGTTTCTTATATCGATGAATAAATGATTTCGATTTTTTGATGATATTGTTGATTTTTTGATGGTTTGTGCAAACGATGCCAATGCCAATGTATTGTTTTTCGTCAGGAAGGGTTTGGGTAGTAAGTCTCCCTTCGAAAACATTTACCACTTACTGTAGGATAACATTATCCTGTTTGGTAAGAACGTTTCACATACATTAATTTCACGTTGACAAACAAAACGAACCCACGACTCCAGATGCTGAAACCAAAACTTGGCGCCACGGAGTCATGATGACAATTGTAGATGATTCTACAAATTATTCCTGACTTGCTGTGTTGTAATGCTATTGATTAAGATATTTCCTTAAAGCACCCATTTAAAGATAGAACCAAGAAGAAGAGACAAGAACCAGCCCGGAATGAAGCCTGTTACATTTTTGTAATGGAGTCACAGTAGCCCTTAATCATCATTTTAACTTATGTACTCCGTTTTACTACAATCCATATTAAAAGTTTAGAAATGAGATTTTTTACACTTAGATCAGAAAAACTTATAGGTACAGATATTTTTTATAAATTTGGTGTAGATTTGTAACTAACGTATTCGCAACTGTTTCGTAAGAAAAGTTATACAAAACGTGCATTAAACTATCAGTTTCAGAGTTTACCGTTCACCTACATTTAATAATATTCTACAATATTATATTACGGTACGTCGGCGTTAATTCGTCTTGATAAAAAAATAGTTGGGAATCTTTACCAGTTTGTATAAAAAATAAGCACCAATGATTTATATTAGTAACCAAATGTATTCATTATATATTGAAACGGTACATTGTAAAGGTCCATTATATATATTATAAAATGAATCAAGTGTATCCATAGTGTGACCATTATATCTATTATATCTATTGTGTGCAAATCACAGCGGACATTCAGAGATTACATTACGGGACACCAAATATGTTCTAGTCATGGGCAGTATCGGGTGTCCTGATCAACATGCTGGCACAAGGCATGGTGCTGAGCTACCCCTCGAGCTTGCTGCCTGGTCTCCAATCACCGGACTCCGATATTAAAGTAGACATCAACATCGCTTCATGGCTGGGTACGTCTGCATAACAATTGATTGTTACACTTACGCCCGGTTTCTGAAGCATCGATCATCGTAGAAGTCAACTAATCAGATGTCGAATGGATTTTCAAATGTTATTTGACTTGCCAAAAGTATTTTAATTAACATTTGAAAAGCCATTTGACAGCTGATGCCCGGTTTCTGAAACCCTGATCAACTGTGTTTCAGAAACCGGGCGCTAGAGTGGCAACTACCTTTCTTTAGGTTCTATGTATTTGATGAGTTTCAAATTCAAATTAAAATATATTTATTAAATATAGAAGCATTACACTTACTTATTGATTGGCAAAGAACACTATTGCCGATTCGGAAAAACACTGATTTGAGAAGAACCGGCGAATGAAACTCGGCGGATCAATTTTTTTTGTCTTAACACGGGCTATAATATAAGCCCATTTAACCAAACTTGAAATACCTTAATATATTATTAAATGGTATAACGTAATAAAATAAATTCGTCAGTTCTGTTATTTTTAGAAATTAAAATTTTTGTAGTACTATTCTTTGCACTTGAGGTTACATTAAAATTTGTAGAAAAAAGTACTTAAAGCTTTTTCGCCCCTGTGGGAATCGAACCCGCGTCTTCGAGATCCGCGCCCTGACGCTTTAGCCACTAAGCTAAATGGCTGATTGCCTCACTGACGATAATCTTAACAATCTGTACAGAGGTTATTAGGACATAGGCCACCATGCGGCCCCACTGAGGATTGGTGGAATTCACATCTTCGAAATAATTTTAGTTGTTATTTAAAAAATATGCAGGTTTACTCACGATGTCTACCTTCACTGCTGAGCACGTGACAATTCAGCATTTAAAATTAACAATTTCATTTGTGCTGGCACCGGAGATTGGACTCAGGTTGCTCGAGTACATTGAATTTACGGTGGTAGGGCCACGCAGCAGCCTCGGCTGTTGCACGAATGGGCAGGCCCGTCCGGGTAAGTACCACGACCTCACAGAAGACCGGCGTAAAGTGGAAGTATGACAAATACTTTCGCGTTTCGTCTGGTGAGTGAGGTAGCCGGAGCCCAATTTTCAAAAGGTTGTCAACGCATCTGTAACCCTCGGGTGTGGCAGATGTCCATGGGCGGCGGTATTCACTTAACATCGGGTGAACCGTCTGCTCGTTTGACAACTTTTCGCATAAAATAAAAAAAAAATTAAAAAAAAAATATAAATGACAATGAGCTATCACGTACCTATTTCTATAAAATGTTGATTTTTTGTTTTCAGCTTCGTCTGTTGGTGTGTCAGGAATACCGGGGTTCCTTGTATCGTCGTTCCTGATGGATTGGAGAGGGAGGAAGCTAGCGCACATTCTGGTACTCGCACCTGGAATTATCGGTTGGCTTCTGATTTTTTTTGCTAGGAACGTCGCACTCCTCATGATCGGTAGATTCCTGAACGGTTTCACGACTGGCGGTACAGTGTTCTTGGGCGCAGTGGTCATTGGAGAGTATTCCTGCCCCAAAAGCAGGGGGACATTCTTGAATTTGAAAACGGCCGGTGTCTGTTTGGGGAGCATGGTCATCCACATTCTAGGATACTATTTCCATTGGAGAACCGTTGCGTTATTGGGCATGTTACCTTTCGTTGTTTCCTTCATAATAATTTGCACTTGGCCCGAGAGTCCCGCCTGGCTGGCATCAACAGGAAAGTTCGAGGACAGCGAGAAATCCTTCTATTGGTTGAGAGGACGCGACGAGGACTCCGAAAAGGAATTTAACGAATTGATCAAAGCTCAAAAGATGAAAGCAGCTTACAATAAAAGAACTAGTGCTTGCGAGACAATCACAGATTTCTTATTGAAATTCACGAAGAGAGACTTCGTGAAGCCTTTAATAATAATTGTTGTAAGTGCAGTACTAATAGAAGCGAGTGGAAGGCACGTATTCCCTGCGTATGCGCTGCCGATAATCGAAGAAGTGACCGGGGATAATCTGCAGACATTCTACTACACACTAGGCATAGATTTAATCATAACGACCAGCGCCACATTCTCCTCCGTCCTAGTTAAAGTGTACAAACGGCGCACGATTCTGTTCATTACCGGTTTCTCTGCTTTGTTCGTCTTAATCATGGCGTGTTCTTACCTCTATTTAGTGACCGTAGGTTTGATATCCAAAAGCTATCCTTGGATACCGGTAGCACTATTTGTGCTGTTTTTCATATTGGTGAACTTGGGCTGCACACCGATACCCATCGCTTTGCTGGGCGAGGTTCTACCATTGGCCCATAGAGCGGCAGGCTCGGCTGTCGCTGGCTTTGTGCTCTCCGTAGCTGTGGTGGCCGCTCTCAAAGTGACACCGTATTTGCTGGCCAGTATCAAAGTCTACGGAACGTTTGGAGTCTTCGGAATAACAATGGGTTTGTCTTTATTGATGTTCTATTTCATCCTGCCCGAAACGAAGGACAGAACTTTGCAGGAGATAGAAGACTATTTCAATAATGGGAGGTTCAGGGATGAGGAAGAGGATCGTAAAGGCGAGGAGGGCGTGCGTATGAAAATGATCACTTAGTGTCGTATTTTGTTGTAGTGTATTAAATGACGATAAAGGTTGGCGATATGGGATTATTGTCAGTTTTTATTGAAAATCTAGTCGGATGATGTTTTATTCTGAAGAAGTTTTTATACTTTTGTTTCATTTTTTGTTATTGATACATTGATTAATGAAATATAGTTTATGGTGGCAAATATAACCATTAGTTATATTATGATCCGAGTTACCTCATTTCATGTTCAACTGTATGAACATTTTAATGTTTTGTAACGTTGCGTTTGTGAAGGATTACACACGTAATTACAACAATGTTATGTACATAATCCATGTAAATATAATTTACTTTACCATAATCATATCTTAAAATTAGATTAGAACTGTATAATATTGTGTATTTTATTTAATGTGGGCATAATAAAGATTGAGATAAAATATGTTTAGTTTATTTTTGTTAATTATTTCACTGTAAGTGTTTTAAGCGAAAAACTAAACTAGTAAGGAAACAATTAGTAATTAATTAAAATATAGCTAATTGAGCACCTAAAAATAATTACCACCTGATAATGAAAAAGATATAGTTACCAAAGAAGTCAATTTAATAAGTTATAGGTGATAAGAAATGATGATGAATAATTTAAAGGTTTGGAGTGATGTTATTTAAAGGTTTTTGTAGTGATTTTGATTATCTATTAATTATCAAAATACGGTCCAATTGATGCCAGATTTAGCAGGATATTTGTCTTTTGGAAGTCAAAGGGTATCCTGTTGTTGCTAACAACTTTTACTGGTCCCATCTGGCAGATGTGAAACATCGAAATTATTTTGTATAGATAATATGCATAGGTAAATGGATAGTTTCAAAAAAATATGGTATAATGAAAAATAAATATTCAGTTTTTATTAAAGAATAAAATTAATCATTTTATTTTATGGACATTCTAATTCTTTATCATTGTCAATTGTGACGTCACCAAAATGTATAAGTAGCAATGATGTATAATTTTTGATTCTTTTAAATCATTATGGTGACGTCGCAATGCACAAGTGACAATGACCATGTCAATGATTTATAGTTTGAAGATGACGCATGTCCATACTGTGCGGCGTTTGAAAATTGTCATGTACACGCGACTTAAAGCCGACAACAACTTAAAAAAAATTGTGACAAATTGTGAACATTCTCGAATCACACCTGACCTGAAGTCACACAAAAATGTCATTAAAATCGGTCCAGCCGAGGAGGATTTCAGTGACATACACACGTACAGAAGAATTATATATTACATATATAAAGATATACAAGCGAATGTGACAGATGATATAGAACGTATTATACGGAAAAAGATAGCAGTCTATAAAATTGCAGTCGAAATACACAAATAGGCGTATATTGAATGACTCGGCTTCGATGCGCTGTTGTCATATGTATGTCGTATATGTTATATAATATTGATTAGAAGTTTCATACTAGCATAAAGCGTGGTAACCTATCGAAATATCGCCGCGCTAACAATCGGTTTGATCCACCGCAGCAGAGGTTTCATGTAAGGGTATTATTAAGTATAAGCATTAATTATTCTTAATTAAGTAAAATAAGCCGTAAGAGCCGTGATATTTCAGTGTCCGGGCGCTCGCCTTTAATTCTATATACTCGAGCAACCTGAGCTCGATCGCCGGTGCCGGCACCAATGAAATTGTTAATTTCAAGCGCCGAACTATCACGTGCTCAGCGGTGAAGGAAAACATCATGAGGAAACCTGCATATTTTCGAAATAATAACAAAAAATATATTTCGAAGATATGTCAAGACCGCCAATCCGCAGTGGAGCCGCGTGTTGGACTATGCCCTGATACCTGGACTGTGCCCTCTGCACCTAGGAGGCCGTTGCCCAGCAGTGGAATATGTATAGGCTGATACTTTAAGTAAAATAATGTGGTATACGATAATTTTAGGGTGGTAGAGGAGGAGGCATCTCTATAATTTTGCAAAAGAGATGCATAAGCTGCCGCAGGACTCTACATCAGGATGTGTTCTATAAAATTTACAAACAGTTTTTCACCAAGACAACCTTCAAATTGTTTATGATAATTAATGCGTAACTCTACTAGGCTGGGCCTATCAAACTCGTGGAAACTTAGCATTTTCATGATCTTCGCCGACAACACACACACTTTTGAACTAAGGAAGTAAACATTGCACCTACGACTCTTAACTTATGTACGTCATACATTTATATCTTAGCTGATCTACCTGACGTCTACGAACTTCGTAACCTATACCTAGCTCTATATCGAGACTTAGCCCATTAATTTGGTTATCAGTCCTAGGTCCAGAGGTCAGATCCTAAAATTTAAGTCAGTACTGAGCTGAGTTGTTTGAATATCTATTTGAAATCATCATAGATTCGGCCTCTAAGCAGATTCTAATAAAGTTTATTAACACATAGTAATAATAAATTTTGTACTGCGCTGCAGTTACTTTATCAATAGACTTTCGCCACGCAGGAAAACAACTTTTAAATGGGCATTAAAAAATGAAATTCGACGATGACTTTGTAATAGCGCCATCTATCAAACACGCAATAAATGTGGTTAATAGTGTTGCCATCTTAGGAGTAGACCACACAATACGGTGGTTTGAATTTGTTGAAACTTAAGGTCTGAAACAATTTACCTCTTTTTCTCGTACTTTATATAATCGTCATGTGTTTTATTGGCTGAAAGTACTAATCCACAAATAATACAAACTCAATATCGCAGTATTCACTGTATGTATTGCATATAGTTTGAGACCGCGACTTTGCTTTACCAATCACGGACACCATTTAATTTTGTAGGATTCAAAACCACCTAACAACAACTATTTTTTCAACAAATTTTAACAACCATGGGTGTCATGCAATTAAACCACTATGCCATTCATGCAGATAGATTGGTCTGTGCTAGTTACATGATTATTAATGGTGGAATTCTTTCTAATACGAATTAGATCTGGGTCTATATTTTTCTTATGGGAAAAAAGCGGCTAACGAGCAGGAGACTCACCTGATGGTAAGTGGTTACCGCCGCCCAAGGACACCTGCAACACCAGAGGGCTTACAAATGCGTTGCCAGCTATATTTTGCTTTTGGAAAATTTCTTTTACAAGCAGTGTCAGAATTTATGCAGTTCTAAAGTTATCCTTCCCCCAACATTGCTTTACATACACAATATCTATAATGTCTATATGTATTAGCAATCTCCCTGACCGTGCTTCCAATAAAGCTCCACATAGACCCAGATAATCTCCCGCGCATTTTTATTTGTGCGCAAAAGCGGACTTTAAACATATTACTTATTTTCTTCATTAATTTTTTACAAATACTACCGATCTGACGGCGTTTTTGCCAAGCACTTTAGCAATGAGCACTTGAAATAACCTTTGGCTTAATTCATTATGCTCGAAAATGAAAACTGAAATCCATAGTAGGTATACATTGTATAACAGCGTGGCGTTACAACCGCGACAATAAATTTACAAACATATATAGAGAATAACTTTTTAAATTTGTATTAAACATTTACATTCTTTACACACCAATATTTACCGAGTTATTAAATTTTTCAAAACAAACAATGTTAGAACGTATAAAACAGTAACGTAAATTTCATTTGTAAAGGTCACAAAGCATATGAATGGATTGAATGAATTTAAAAGATTTAATTATGGATTTTGTAAACGTTTATTTTTTTATGTTTATTGGTGAGACGTGTGTTCATTTGTTATCGCGGTTGTTACGCCACGTTGTTGTATAGTGTAGTAACGACAAAGACGGAACTACCGAAACAAAAATGGCAACACCGGCTCAGAAATATTTCAGCCTCGATATCGTCTCGTGAGTCGTCAGAATCTGTTTATCGTGTTTGGCACGTGTTTTGTGAGTAAATAGTCAAACATGCGTCCGCTTGCAATTCGGCAACATGTGCATATAAAAACTTCATTCGTACAGTGTTGACATTTGGATAAGGATGTGGATTGCGCAATGGGGAAGGCGAAATTAACACCTTTCTTGAAACAAGTGAGTTGTAGCAATAATAAACGCAGTGCGTAATAAATTATTGCACATTTTACGTTGTTGTGATGGGGCTATCCAGCTTCTGATGTTGCAAGAACGGGTAGTGTCCGGGAAACGGGTGCCGCGGCGTCTCAGAAGACCGGAGTGCAGAGAAAGTACCAATACTTACGCGTTTTGTCTTTTATTTAACCGACTTCAAAAAAGGAGGAGGAGGTTCTCAATTCGACTGTACTTTTTTATGTTTGTTACCTCAGCACTTTCCTTTTGTATTTGAAAGCTGGTGCTTCCCATGTGATCCCATATTAATTTCATTGGTATTGGAACTTGGGCTCCGGAAATACTTAGGAAACCCCTTTAAAATGAATTAAACAAAAAATTTTTTTAAAAGTTTATGTCCTAGGCTTAACGCCGCGGCTGGTGACAAGAGAGCTGGTTCTTTTCTCGCGCAAAGGTTGAGCATAACTATTCAGCGAGGAAATGCAGCTAGCGTTCTTGGCACCATGCCGCGTGGATTAGGTTTATTAGATAATATGTAATTTTAGATAGATTTAATCTTGTAAATATTAGATCAATAAAGATTGTCTTTTCTTTTCATTAATAAAAAAAAAAAAAAAAAAAAAAAGCGACCTTCCAATTCGATTTTCATCGTCATCATCGTTTATAAAATATGGACTTGTTTTATATAAAATGGTGGCAAACGTGTTGGCGGTTCACAAGTGATAACCGCCACCAATGGATATTTACGACACCCGTAGGATTGCAGATGCGGTAACGCATCTGCAATCATTTGAGCCTGTTTGAGTCTACTGCTGAACAAAGACTGCCACGAAGTACGATCCTGAATCGACCGCATCCATGAGATTATAATACTGTCTTTTATTCCAATCTCGGAATTATTCGAAATAATATTCATCGTTAATATTATTATCGTCTTTCATACTGTGTATAGTATGCACAATATATTCCGAGCTTTATAATATTTCCAAGCTGTGCTAAAATGCAATAGACAATCAGCGGCTGCGGTAAACGCTGGTTCGAATCTCACAGTTCCGAAAATTTTTGTCCATTTATCTACGAAGATTTACGATACGAGATTAAATTTAAGTTTCGTCTTAAATGCAAAGACTCTAGCACTAAAATAAATTTAATCATAAACGACTTATCTGTCTTTATGACACTCACGCTAGACACTATTCAATTAAACGGCACACTAAATTCGCACCAAAAACCTAAATACTAAACATAGGTAGTTTGTGTTTGTTGCCGCGACGACTGTAGGGATTCGAATGAATTAGTGATGCATATAGTTTAATTTTGACAATTTCTTATGCTTCGGACTGGTAACATAGCTTGCGATAGAAGGAAAAACTTATACGTCATCCACTATTCTATGCCTTATCGTCACATTTATTATCTACACCTGTACGAACTGGTTTCATCAAGCGAATAATTTCCATTCTGACGAATAATTTTTGATCGCGTTACACGAATACTGCACTTTAAAACCACATTTCTGTGTAGTGATAATGATGCAAATGTGCAAAAATTTAAATTGATAATATCCAAAAGGTTAACTGTTATATAAACGCTTAAAACTATATTACATATTATATTTAAAATAGATTAATGATGAAACCATAAATACAATTTGAGTTTATTTATTTCTTAATTTTGACAACAGTTTCAATAGGGAAGTATAAAGGGCGGACTTAATTCCAATAGAATGCCACACAACAGTGTTGTCTATGGGCGGCGGTCATCACTTAATATCAGGTGAACCGCCAGTTCGCTTGCCATCTCCTTACATGAAAATATCTTTTATATTCATTAGGTGAGTTTTTTCAGCCGTAATTGTTGTGTAACGTATTTTATACGTCGTAATGCACTTTACTATATTACGCATTCAGCTCTATCAGTGCACATTAAAGGCTTACGTTTAATATAATCTAATACCTGGGCCTGATCGAGGCGCAATGAGATGTTATCAAGCAAATTGACTGTTGGTTTTTTTAACACTTTATTAGCTTGAATTTTATGCATGAACGCACGTACGTACTGTAAATTTTTAGTAAAAGCATCATCATCATCATCATCATATCAGCCGTAGGACGTCCACTGCTGAACATAGGCCTCCTCCATTGACTTCCACTTCGACCGGTCGTTAGCGGCCTGCATCCAACGCGTCCCTGCGATCTCGGCTAGGTCGTCCGTCCACCTTGTGGGAGGCCTTCCTACGCTGCGTTTGCCGTCACGTGGTCTCCACTCGAGAACCTTACTAAAAGCTTTTAGTAAAAGCATAGGTCCTTGCTTTTACTAAAAGCTTACCACATCGCCGGTGTCACTGTCGAAGTGTCTGTGTTAAAGTAGCCGAAACTAGACAATCATTCCATTGCATATGTATTTAGAGTATACAAAATATCTGAATATATACTAACAAAAAGATGCCCAATTGAAAAGGGATATGGCTGCTTGTCCCTAGGCCGACATTATATTGAACTATCGAAAAGAAAGAGAATTCAAGGCTCGATACAGCACTGCGTTTTTTGCCAATGTCAGTCTGGATCTCTTTAATTTGGGGAATCAGCAAATAAGGCGTTGTTAAATCTGCTTGAAAACTTCGATTAAACTTAGGATTGGAGACTTAAAGATCGAAACTTTCGAAACTGCCTCACGAAATTCGCGTTCAGACGCTCTATCCACTGAGCTAAACGGTCGACATCCTCATCGTGCGAAAATCAGCGTCTTATCAATATTCTTTTTTTTATTGCTTTCTTAGCATTGTACAGCAAATACACTTTCCCCAACTTCATTTTTACAATGAATATTCCCGACCTATAGACATCACCTTTTCTGTTGAAATTCAATTTTTTTTTATTACTTTTTCTGTTAGCCTCAGCACATATGTTTTTGATGTGAAACATCTACAGCCGCACGTAAAATTTTTGGCGTGGCGACGCGTCTCCACGCTATATGATGGTATATATATATATATATATACAGTCTATATGCAGTAGCGTGTACGATTAATTACTGAAATTTAAATTAATTGTTAATAATTATTTATTATTAATTAATTAAATTAACTTTAATTAATTGTGTGTACTATTACCGAAGTCACTGATTAAACGAATTAAGTAGTCACGATTTGAAATAAATTCGTACATTTTTGTATTTAATAAATGAATAAACATTTATTTTCAAGTCATCGTTATCTGGAAAAAAAATCTTAATATTTTATTTTATCATTATGACATATTTAGTTCCTATCACAATCTGTTGTTTTCTGCATATTACTTTTACAAAATAATGTCGATGTTTCACATCTGCCAGGCGTCCCGTGACGACTCACATTTTTTTTAAACATTGCTCTTGATTTAGGATAACATTACACTATGTTTTACAAACATAAATTTTACGTGGACAAACTCAAACTTTTACTCATATGCGAAACAACTATCTATGGGTCACACAAATAGTTGTCCCGTGTGGGGATCGAATCCACGACCCTCAACGCTGAAGCCAATACCTTGGCAACTGCACCACGGAGTCTCAGCACTTAAGATGATCTGCACTTTAGATGAAACCTTTCATATATTTTTTTCATTCTATTTCACAGTGCATGGTGACCTGTGCCGTCGGCAGCAGCCTAGTGTGCCACATCGGATTCGTTTTTGGCTTCCCCGGCGTGCTGCTACCGGCCCTACACGAAGACCACACCGCGATACCGCTAACAAAGGTCGGCGATTCATGGGTCGGTAAGTATATTGTCTAACTAATAGCTGACTCTCTATGTACATGTAATATTTGTTCACAGCAAGTTGTAGAACATAAGGGACTTGAATATTATTGAAAATAAATAAATAATAAATTGTCAAACTAAGTTTGTACTATGGATACTAGGCAACACATACTTAAACGTACTTTTTTTTGTAAATAATTACAAATTATAGATTTATAAACACCCAGACACTATGTTCATCACACACTATTTTTCCAGTAGTGAGGACCGAACCCATGCCCTCTGGCACAAGAGACGTGGTCACTATCCACTACGCCAATTGTGTCGTCATTATGACAATTAAACGCATCTTTCTTTCTTTCTAAACATGTCGCTGTGATGAGTCGCCTTATTTTTGACAAACAAGTAGTAAACCAAATCTGTTAATTACAAAAATCACAAGTCACATTTTATACGATGCAAAACGACAAGAAATAAATTATATCAAAGCCGGTTATAAACGTTATCAGAGGATTACATTATTGTTAAAGTAAATTGAAATACGAAAAACTTGCCCCTCGATACCCACTTAGTCAACCTGTGCCAAGGGGCACCGTCTGACTTGCGTTTTATTTTATTAATTAATGTGTTAATTTTTTTTTATGCAAAATGTTGTCAAACGAGCATACGGTCCACCTGATGTTAAGTGAATACCGCAGCCCATAGATATCTATCACACCCGAGGGTAACAGATACGTTGACAACCTTTTGAAAATTGGGCTCTGGCTACCTCACTCACCAGACGAAACGCGAAAGTATTTGCCATACTTCCACTTTACGCTGGTCTTCTGTGAGGTCGTGGCCCGGACGGGCCTGCCCATTGGTGCAACAGCCGAGGCCGCTGCGTGACCCTACCACCGTTAGAAATATGTGTGTATTATGATAAAAGCATATTTCATTTTAAACTATAGCACACATATCTGTAGGGATTATAAATTATACATATCATCATCATCACCCTCCTGCTCTTATCTTATCCCACCTAGGTGAGGTCAGCACAAAATGTGAATTATGTTGTAAGCGGTTTTGGCTGTGTTGGAAGCGGCGTTTTTACGACCGGCCGCCTGCCTGACTTCAAACCTCCTTGGAATCAAACAGCCAGATCCGGAAAAATTCTGTGTGGATCACACAGATAGTTGTCCCATGTGGGAATCGAACCTACGTTCCTACGAACCTACGGCGCCACCGAATCATCCAAGTCACATAAATTATCTATAATAATTAATGCATATATCGCACCCAGAAAAGAACTTAATTGTTTTTGCTGGAGCATCGACTATCAAAGGATGATATAAGTATGCTTAAGAAGTATACAGGAATGGCGATGGAAAAAGAAATACTTTAATGAGAAACAATAAGAAACGACTTCTTATTGAATGTCGAACGAATTCTCATTTCGATACGCGTTTTTGAATTGCATCGTGTTTTTGAACTCTTACGGCCTTCATGGTCACGGGAAAGACTGACTGTGTTAAAATTAAGCGCGATTTTTCAATAGGGTTTCGTTTAAAAAGTGCGCTGTTTACTTAAAAACATCATAAAATTATTCATACTTATGTTTTTATAAAGTCTTGCGAAATTAACCCGAATGTCTGTATTATTGATGGACTCTAGATATGACAGTAATATTATGAGGAGGTATAACTTGATTAGATAGATCCACTTAAGATATCGAAAGATTGATACATATTTGATTAGTGTCCACCCATACAAAGAAGCAAAACATCTTGCAGAAAAATAGAGGAATGACACAAAATATGTTTTTTTTTTTTTTTTTTTTTTTGCGAAAAGTTGTCAAACGAGCAGACGGTTCACCTGATGTTAAGTGAGTACCGCCACCCATGGACATCTGCCACTCCCGAGGGTTCCAGATGCGTTGACAACCTTTTGAAAATTGGGCTCCGGCTACCTCACTCACCAGACGAAACGCGAAAGCATTTCTCATACTTTCACTTTACGCTGGTCTTCTGTGAGGTCGTGGTACTAACCCGGACGGGCCTGCCCATTCGTGCAACAGCCGAGGCTGCTGCGTGGCTCTACCACCGCTAAAATTAAATGAATTTTATGTGAAAAGTTGTCAAGCAGATTTTCACCTACAGGTTCACCTGATCTTAAATGATTACTGCCACCCAATAGATATCTACATCACATGAAGGCTTGCAGATACGTTGACATCGTTTAAAAAAGTGGGCATTGGATACCCCCCTCACCAGATGAAACGCGAAAGTATAAATACTTCCACTTCTCGCTGATCTGTGAAGTTGTGGTACTTCCCCGGAAGAGCCTGCCCACTCGTGGAACGGCAGGAGTTATTGCATGACCCAGCGGTATTTAATTATTACGTATTGCAGCGTCAATCGTCAGCATAAGCATGCTGATTGGCAACTTCGTCACGCCAAACGTCATGGGCCGCTATGGCAGGAAGGTCGCTCACATCAGCGTCGGTCTACCGGCAGTCGTCAGCTGGTTCGTCATCGCTTTGTCCGTCAATGTAGAGGTCGGTGAATGTGTAGTAATGCATTACAACTTTTGTCAAATATTATTAGCATGGAATAAAATAAATTAAGAGCCGTGATAGCTCATTGTCCGGGCGCTCACCTTTAGTTTAATATACTCGAGCAAGCTAAGTACGATCCCCGGTGCCGGCACCAATGAAGTTTTTAACTTTAAGTGCTGACTTATCACGTGCTCCGCGGTGAAGGAAAACTTCGTGAGGAAACCTGCATATTTTCGAAATAATAAAAAAATATATATATTTCGAAGATATGTGAAAACCGCCAATACGCAGTGGGGCCGCGTGGTGGACTATGCCCTGATACCCTCTCTATAGAGGAGGCCTTTGCCCAGCAGTGGGACATGTATAGGCTGCTACTTTACTTTACTACTTTAAAATAAATTAGCTTCCACGATTCATGATTCAGCAACTATTAAATGAAACTATTTTTACATGGTCCGTCCCGACTCCTAGTGATTTTAAGTTTTTATATGGAAAAACCTATGAGAATAGTTTCATATAATAATGTGTAGTGTTGCGTCAGTATAAGAAATTCACCAAGCTTTTGTACTCCCAAACATGGCAAGCTGGGACCCTTTGCGAAATATACCAGGCCTAAAAGACATTCAGTGATTTTTCCACGCAATCAAGTAAGGAAAAAACATCTTCAGCTAAAACTTACAACACGTTAAAACTAAAAAAAACAGACAATTTACCTTACTCTCCATTGTCGCAATTCAAAAACTGATAAGTTTAATAGGCGTGCCGTGTCATTGACTACGACTGACATCATTAAAAGTAGCGGGCTATATATACAATATATAAATATTCCCTACTTTATGTCAAAAGCCTTCTCTGTATAAACGGTACAGTTACCACTGCAGTTTGGCAGACATCACATATCTTTGAATTAACTTTTTCATCATTTCTTAGATATGCTGGTTTATTTTATTGAAATCGTATTAAAAGTTATTACCGCGTACCCGCACAAAAATCATGCAATCAATTAAAAGTAAATTAATCTAGTACATTAAACTTACGTAAATACGCATAATTTATATGTGCACAATTTTATTTTCAGATGCTGATCTTCGCAAGGTTTCTACAGGGTCTATCAGTCGGCTTGATGCTGCCTCTTCGCTCGGTTCTAGTGGGGGAATACTCCAGCCCCAAGTATCGTGGCGGGTTCCTCACGACTATATCCCTCGCTCAAGGCTTTGGAATATTTCTAGTCCACCTCGTAGGATCGTTGTTCAGCTGGCAGCTGACCAGCATCGCTTGTGGCGTAGCTGCTTTCTTGAGCACGATAATCGCTTTCTACTTACCCGAATCTCCTAGTTGGTTAGCTGTTAAGGGGAGATACGAGGAATGCACACAAGCTTTCCGCTGGCTAAGAGGCGAAGGTGAGGAGAAAGAGCTGGAGGAAATGATTCTCTCGCAGACGAAGATGCGGGAAGAGATAGTAGATAAAGAAAAGGTCAATCGGTCGAAAACCGTCGAAAACCGTTCGATCGTCAGAAGAAAGGAGTTTTACAAGCCAATCGTGATAATAGCTCACTGCTATCTGATGGTGCAGGTGAGCGGGAACGCGACAATGCCTGCCTTCTCGGTGGAAATCATCAGCGTCATGATGGGCTCGTCAGCAAACGTCCACGTATGGATGGTCGCCCTGGACACCTTAAGGATCATCACTAACTTCACCGCTATATTCATCATCAACCGGTTCAAACGCCGGATCATTATTTTCGCCACGGGCGGTTTGTGTACAGCTGTCCATTTAGCCATGGCTGTTTACATGTATTTCAAAGATACGATTTCGTACGACACGCAGTGGATACCCGGATGCTTAGTTGTAATGCAGTTCTTCTGCATAGGCTTGGGTATGACGCCCATGTCGAATGTCATATCAGGGGAGGTTATACCGTTGGAGTTCAGAAGTATGATATCTAGTATAGGAGTATTTACTTTAGCTGTCTTCATGTTCATGGTCCTCAAGACATTTCCATTGCTGCTCGACAGCATTGGCTTGTATGGCATCTATGCAATTTATTCTGCGATATTGACTTACATACTTATTCTGTTGTGGTTCATTTTACCGGAGACGAGCGGTAAGACGTTGCAGCAGATAGAGAACGAGCTTAAAGGATTCCATCACCAGTTAGAGGACGCTGAAGCAAAGATAAGCTTAAAACAGTACGGCAATGGTGAAGAAGAACGTTCCTGATGTAAATGTCGAAGTTATGCTTAAAGAATTATAAATTCCTCTAATGAAAAGTAGCTAATTGTGCATGACAATGAATGATAATAGTTCATAATTAAATCCTTTATATAGGAAAACCGTGTATTCATATTTCATCAGATATAACTTTTGTAATGATTTCATAATTGGTTCGTTGAAGTAACATTTTTATATGAATAATTTTATAACTTTACTGTTGTTTTTATTATATATAATATACATTAATTTAATACTATAATAAACAATCTAAGTCATCTAGGCCAAACGGCGAAAAAAGTTTGGTTATCCGGAATAAGTATAATAATATTCTTTATTATTTTTGGTAAAAAAAATAATAATAGATAAATATTAAGCTGTCGGTCTGGTTTGTAAGTTATGCATTTTTAGGCTTAGTTCCTCTTCTCTTGTGTTTTCTGCCTCTTGATTCGGTGCTAATGTCATTTCCGGGACCACTGAATGTGTGGTTATATACCACAGCTGTAATTGATGAACTGCTGGCATATATAGGTTTTCCTTCCTTACTTTTTGGTTCCTTTAATACTATACTTCAAATATTTTCTCGGACTCTCCAATACTTTTTATCGTCCTTAATACCATTTAAATATCTTCTTCTTACTTACTTTTTCTGGTCTGATGTCTATATTTTCCTTTTTTTCAAATGGTTCCCTACACTCATAGCCTACTTTCTGCCGTCGAACAACTGACAAAGCCTATCAGTCACCTGCATAACTTCGTTCTTGACGTTGGCGTCAGTTGCTTGTTGGTTTGGTGCCGTTGTCACCTCACTCTGAAGACGAAAGGCAAAAGTATACAAATAACACTTCCACATCGCACCGGTCTTCTGTTAGGTCGTGGTACTCCTAGGGACGGATCTACCCATTCGAGAAACATCGAGAATGATGCTACTTGAAGTATGAATAACTTCTCTTATATATAGGCAGGATAAGGGCTGTTGGTTATTTAACAAAGCATTTATGTTTGATATTAGATGTTTCGTAAATAAAAAAATATTTTCTTGTTAATTACTTATTCCTCATTATCTCTTATGACATTACCACCTGCTGTTGTTTAAATACTTTAAAGTAAAAGTAAACAGCCTATACATGTCCCACTGCTGGGCAAAGGCCTCCTCTATACAGACGGTATCAGGGCATAGTCCACCACGCGGCCCCACTGCGGATTGGCGGACTTCACATATTGTCGAAATACATTTTTTTTTGTTATTATTTTGAAAATATGCAGGTTTCCTCACGATGTTTTCCTTCACCGCGGAGCACGTGATAAGTCAGCACTTAAAGTTAAAAACTTCATTGGTGCCGGCACCGGGGATCGAACTCAGGTTGCTCGAGTATATTGAATTAAAGGCGAGCGCCCGGACACTGAGCTATCACGGCTCTTAAATACTTTGCATATCCATAAATGGCCTATCCATGATACCAAAGTATATAGTAGTTGTTTGAACACAATAACCAACCGTCTGTCTTTAAATTAGGCAACTACAACAGTATTCTAATAACCAATCTAAAAGCAGGTACAATCTAAGTACCTACATCATTTTCTATTAAATTACATAATCCTATAGAAAGTATAATATATTTAATTCGTTTTACTTTCTCGGGTTGATGGCGTTACGATAGCTGATTACTGTTTGCCTTCACCTTTGCTTGGTTTATTATTTAAGTAACTACTATCTTTAAATATAAGAATATATAATTTAATTATGGTTGTTTCTTAGTGTAAGCTTTTTTTATTTATAACAATTGATTAGAAACATTATGTGACATGCCATACGGTCATAAAAACTAGTCACTTCTGTCCATATTTAGTATGTGACGTTTCGAATTCTTCTTCTTTATATTAATGGCTTACTGTTACTTTGTGGACGTTTCGACTTCTAGACCGACTTTGTTTTCGGCCTGATAGGTTGGCTAAGACTTTATTAGGGAGTTAATGGCGATCCTCCTTGGAGCCGACGCCGCGGGAAAGAGGTATGTGGCATCCTAGGCTACATCCTTAAGCATCCTGTTTTGGCTTTATGGGTTCCATACCCAAACGGTAAAACGGGAGTCTTAGTAATAACACCGCTGTCTGTGTGTCTGTCTGTCTGTTACCAGACTGTATATCATGAACTGTGATAAATAGACAGTTGAAATTTTCACAGACTATTATACTATACACGTATTTCTGTTGCGACTATAACAAAAAATACTAAAATAATAAAAAATATTTAAGTGGGGCTCCCATACAACAGACATGATTTTTGTGTCGTTTTTATAGTTAATGGTTTTGAACCCTTTGTGCGTGAGTGCGACTCGCTCTTGTTAGTTTTTAAACTTTATATTATACTTGGATAAACCCACATCCTTGGTAAATTCCGTCGCAATAATGGCGATTTGGAATTTGGCTGTATTCTGGGCCTTATTCATTTACTATAAATTTTTTTTGCATGGTTTTTCTTCTTCCTTTTCTACTTCTTCTTTTTTCTGATCCTTAATTTTCACTTTTAGATTAATGGATTTGCATATTATGCATTTGCATACATACTTGGAATCTGAGGCTGTTTGCAGTCCACATGTATAAATGTGAACTTTATTCAGAAGTATACTTCCTTCTGGTATGTTTTCTTTTTGTTCTTAAAGCCAGCTCATCACTATACCAAAAGCACGTTTATGTGATATTATTATTATTATGATAATACGGTATAAGTAAAATTATCGACCTCGTATTAATGGCAAGTATACTTTTATTTTTTTCAAAGATTAAATCAGTAAGGCTGAAATAATCTGGTATTATTTATCAAAGTCCAGTAACTCTCATAATGATGCCAGTGACTGAAGTTCTACAGCTTTATCCACTGGAGATGTCCCGCGAAACTCGTCCTCAATCTCTTGTAGAGTTCTGTCCTTCGTCTCTGGTAGGAACCACCACGCTACCATGAGGCAGTAGCCCGAAACTAAGGTGTACAGACAGTAAGCACCGTGTAGACCGATCGTGTTAAAGAGGTAAGGCACCGTTTTGATGACGATGAAGAAACTCGACGAGTGGAATAGCACGCTGATGCCACCTGCTAAGCTTCTAAATTCAAGGGGGAAGAGTTCGCCGGCTATTATGAAGCTTATCGGCAAACTGCCGATACCGACGGACAGCATGTGCAAGTGAAGTAGCAGGATTCCAATTAGGCGGTGATCGTTCGTGATAATTTGGTTTGTCTGCAAATAAGAGAACAAGGCCGTCGCTAGCATTGCAAACATGGCTAGACAACCTATTGCTAAAAGCATAGTCCGTCTTTTCCGCTTCTTAATGAGGTACACGCCAACAACGTTGGACACAATCCTTTGGGAGTCCAAAGCGACGACCATCAGTTTTATATCCACTCCATTGCCAACTAACACGTCCAATAGATCGATGATGTATGTGCTCAATACGTTAACACCAGCCCACTGGGACAGCATATAAATGTGGATCATTATTATTATGGGCTTGTAGAACTCCTTTCTTTTCAAAATAGTTTCTATGTACCTGATCTTTGCAACGATCGTCTGCAACATTGATTGCGATATGTTCCCCGCAGGTTTTGATTGTTTTTCGGTGGTGGCTTCGACCATCCGCCGCAATTCTGTCTCTTCACCATCACCACGCAACCATCTGAACACCCTTCTGCTTTCCTCGTGCTTCCCTCGATCTGCTAACCAGCTTGGCGACTCTGGAGATAGCAGAACGATGATGAAATCAGCTAGAGTTACAAAAGCGCACACGATCGCTGCGGTCTGCCAGTGTAAATAACACCCTAGGGTGTGCACAACTAGTACTCCGGCGGAGATCATCACCGATATGACGGTGAGAAATGCGCCCCTGTTCTTCGGGCTGGTATACTCCCCGATGAGAACCGGCCCAAGGGTAGTTCCCATGCCCATTGAGAGGCCTTGTAGCAACCTTGCAAAGATTAGCATGGGCACGTTGGTTGCTAAAACTATGCATATCCAGCCCATGATCATAGGGACCAGACTAGCCATGTTTGCGATTCTTCTTCCGTATTTCGCCATAGTAAATGGTATGATGAAGTTACCGATGACCAAGGTGGTACCCATAACGGACGCTGAAAGAAGAAAATAATGTAATTTAATAAGTCAAATTATTTAATGTAACCTAACTTTGGAAACTGTACCTAATTCATGTTTCAATTTTGCCTCTTATTCATTTCAATCATCTATGCTTGTTCAGACGCATTTCAACACTCACTGTTGTGTTTTTTCATCGACTCTTGTTAGGTAGAAAATCCCTTTCATGACTAAGTCTTATTTGTAGCTCTTTTTATACTACTATCGATTTGTAAAGACCACTTCAGATTTATATATGTGGTCTTTACATATACTGGAGCGAAATTTTCTGTCATATGTCGCAAAAATTGGGAGAAAACGATGCACCGTTTTCTCCCAAATGAAAACGGAAACTTTCTTTGCAAAAAAAAGGACGAGCCATCTGATATATAAGTGAGTTTTTAGGAGTATTATAAACGTATATAGGTATAACAAGGTGAGCCTCCAGTTTCTTCAAGCATCAGATGAAACAGTAACTACCTAGACACGTTAACGAAGCTGAAAGCTGTAGCCATTTCTTTCGGACAAATTAAAAGGAAGATATATAAGACTCAAAGTCATAAACATTCAACGATGATTAAAAAACAGTGTATAAATATATATCGTATGTAGTAAAAAATTTGACTTAACAATACAGATTGGAAAAAATTGTGAAATTGTAAATTCGTGTTTTGGTACAATATTTTTCTAGCATTTCTAGCCGCGTTCAATAAATTATGCCAAGTCAAAGTCAAAGACTGTATGTCATTTAGTAATTTTATCGCAAATATACGTATATGATATTGATAATTGGTATATTTGTATTAATTAGTTCCAAGTTGCAGTGCAGTCCTCTAATACGCTAAATGTCATTATAATATTAAAATTTGATTGTATTATTTTCTAAAAACGAAATAGCACGTAGAAGTTCTGCTTCTGGGATATATTGTTAAATGCTCAGTTAAATTATTCATAAACAAAAAGAATCGCTTACTTCTAAAACGTAGCTATATAGTTCTATTCTACACTACTACTACTATAAAATATAGATGATCGTTCAAAATTTGTAGAAAAAAAGTAAAAGTAAAAGTAAAGTAACAGCCTATACATGTCCCACTGCTTGGGCAAAGGCCTCCTCTATATAGAGGGTATCAGGGCATAGTCCACCACGCGGCCCCACTGACCCCCACACCCTCGAAATATTTTTTTTTGTTATAATTTCGAAAATATGCAGGTTTCCTCACGATGTTTTCCTTCACCGCGGAGCACGTGATAAGACAGCACTTAAAGTTAAAAACTTCATTGGTGCCGGCACCGGAGATCGAACTCAGGTTGCTCGAGTATATTGAATTAAAGGCGAGCGCCCGGACACTGAGCTATCACGGCTCAAAAGTAATAAAAGTTTTCCGTCGCTATGGGAATCTAACCAACGTCTCCGCGATTCGCGCCCAGATGCTTTAACCACTAAGCTAAATGGCTGATTGCCACACCAACGAACTACTTTGCCTTTATTCGCATTTCAAGCAATATTTATCCTTTATAGCATAAAAACAATTTCGTATATAATTTTATAACGATAATTCTTTATTAATTTGAAAATTAATTATTTTTTATTAATTTGAAAATACGAAACTTTTCGCACTTTTTTAGCACTATAAAACAATTAAAAAACACATGATCGTTATCCACATACCGATCCAGGATCCAGTAGAGTGGTCAATGGGTATCGTCGAGTCCGCCCTGCGCAACTGTGGCACCAGCACAGCGGCGAATCCATTTGCAACGCCATGGCCGGCCAGGTTCAGAGTCACCCCCGTTGTGACGAAACACTGGAAATTGGATTGTCTTCACTACGTAATATGAAACAAAGTCGTCCCACTGTCTGTCTGTCCCTATGTATGCTTAGATCTTTAAAACTACGCAACGGATCTTGATGCGGTTTTTTTTATTAGATAGAGTGATTGAAGAGGAAGGTTTATATGTATAATATATTACACCCGTGCGAAGCCGGGGCGTGTCGCTAGTCCTTGATATAGTAGATTCAGTACTCTCTAACACACACTGCAGATCGTAACTTCGATTTGCTATTAATAATGTTTTAAAAATTAACTGGTGTTGAGAAAAATCAGTGTTTTTACATGCGGTCGTTTAACCGGAGTTCTCGTCTGATTCATATAATAATTATAAAATAAAAACACAAGTTTTTATGTATGGATGGATGTTTCTTACAGTGTTACTCTCTCACGCAAAAACTACTGAATGGATTTTAATGAAACTTTACAATAATATAGCTTATACATCAGAATAATACACAGGCTATAATTTATAAAGATATGTGTAAATTGTCCAACATATAGGTAATGATAAGTGTCCTTTAAGTAGGAAAAATTCAGCCATCTGCGAGATATCCTGGTGTTCAATAGAAAAACTTATGTTAATTCCCACTTGCCGCGCGTTTGAAGCCGCTGTTAACAGCTAGTTACATGTATAACTTAACTGTGGTAGGGCCACGCAGCACCAAAAGATGTTATATCCCAGTCAGATAATAGCTACCGGTCGAGCCGAGGTCCGGCCCTCTCGGGCAGCCTCGAATCGGAATGCTAAACGCGTGTTGAGTGACAGCCCAAGCCGAGGTCCCCTCCCAGGGGATTGGCTTGGCCCCATTGGATTGGCCCCGGCTTGGGCTGCCTAACATGTCTACTGTTGAGCCTGATCACTCCATGGAGCTGCCGCCAAAGCGCCAAAGTGCTTGGCGACCTCCCAAACCGGTGATAATAATAGCGTGACGGCCCTCGAGAGCCCTCGAGCTTAGTCACCATTACGCGTAATAATAATACGCCGAGGTTCAGGCAAGGCGCCCCGTGCGCCAGGCCACCTCAAGTCCGTCGGAACTGTAAAGGCCCCTAAGGCCAACAGTAGCTCATCCAGCCCAAAAAAAAAAGATGTTATATCTAAAAATTATTCAATATCAATAAGGCGCATTTGTACTATCGTATATAAATAAAAATCACACTTAAAGCATGGTGTAAACAATGTTTGATTGAACGTATAAAATCTTGTTACTGTTAACTTTAATGTATTCATGGGATAATATATACCTCACACATTCCGAGAATATATTATGATTGATGTCTTTTTATTCTTTTTTTTTAATTTTTTGTTATAGTTTTCTTAACACAGTCTGAGAGCTATAACTACTAAAGTTGAAACTCTTTTTATATAATCAACGACATTGCAAAGGTTATCAAATGGTCAGAAGATCAGCAATTGCGTCTGTGCTTGACTTGAATGTATTGCGCAAAAATATTTTTTTATGACTGTCAATACACCTTTGTCGATTTTCTTGACTACTTTTAAGAAATAAACAGGTTTATAGAAAAAGATAAAAACAAAAATGATTACTATTCTTCAAAAATGTTCGTGCTAATGTTAAGTGCGTGCTCTACGGTGGCAGGGCCACGCAGCAGTCTCGGCTGTTGCACGAATGGGCAGGCCCGTCCGCGTTAGTACCACGACCTCTTCTCTTTCGCGTTTCATCTGGTGAGTGGGGTGGCCGGAGCCCAATTTTCAAAAGGTTGTCAACACATCTGTAACCCTCGGGTGTAGCAGATGTCCATGGGCGGCGGTATTCACTTACCATCAGGTGAACCGTCTGCTCGTTTGGCAACTTTTCACATAAAAATAGAAAGTGACTTGGCTACTATGACGTACGAGTACAGCGCAAATTATGGTAACAAGTGTTTATTTCAGACTAAATTTGACTACATTTTGTATGTATTTATACAAACAATATAAAGGAATCTTTGTTATTAACCAATATTTTATCATGTTAAGAGAACCAATCTTAATTGTTTACTTCAGAAAAAGACTTGTGAAACCACCAGGATCTAGTCGACAAATGTACATTTTTATGTACCGTATAACAATTTGACTTTCCAGTTCGGTAATTACATTTTACTTTGTTACATTACAAGTAGTGTGCTGTTATTATTACTGGTATGTTTTTGTAGTTGTAGAATGTGTTGAAGTTTGAATTGTCCCAGGTCAAAATACATGTTTTGATGATGATGCATAGTTGTGTACATATTTGAAAATTTATTATTAATTAGTTGTTAAAACTAATGGACTCGGAGGTGTACCTGACTAGAAAATAAAAACCATAATCTCCGTACCTCGATATGAACTTAAAGTCTATCCTTGGAAGATGCGTTTCCGGTTGGAGTAACAATAATAAAAAGGAGTACCAATAATAAAAAAAGAGTACCAAAAATACCATAAAGTATTATGAACAAATAAAATCATACCCATAAACCCAAACCGTAACTAACAATTCATTGACAGGCCATCACCTGCTTCACGAATGGTGTAATCCATCTTCGGCTACTGGACATTATGCAGATAGAAGAACTATTACAAATTCACACGAACCACACAAAACTAATTAATCAATGGTCAAAAGAAGAAGCGTTTAGCGCCGACGTTTCGAATGACTGCGTTAATTTTGGATGATTAACCGTTCACCCGACTTTGTACATCGCGAGTGGCAATGAACCGTTGTGATAAGCAAATAATATATGAATAATATTTTGTTTTTTTTTGTGTACAGTCGACCACACGTTCGATATTGAATCGCGAATTGGGGAAGTTTACTTTACTCGTAATGTACGAAAGTATTGGTTCCAATTATCATTTGTTTACCTTACACCTGTCGTTTGAAGAAGGATAAGAATGCCAGAAAACGAGAGCAGAGGATTGTATATGATGATTGTATATTATATTCCGCTGTGCCTCTTAATTTCTTATTTTTACCTGATTTTAAGTGATTACAGTCGCCCAAGGACATCGACAACAACTGAGGAAAGCTTTGCCAACCTTCAAAAGCAGCGAACATTGGTTATCTCGCTCATCAGAAGAAATGCAAAAGATACTTACTTACATACTTCCACTTTCCATGGGTTTCTTTGAGACCGTCATACTTCCATAGACGTGCCGGCCATAATACAGTTAATTATTGCCAACTACAGAGAAATGGGCACCCATCACCTAATTTACCGGCTGAAACGCTGGACTATAAACATCTTAGATTCGTGCTGAATCTTTTGGTAGGCCGTGGTATTTCCCTGTCCAACTTACCCTAGCTACACCGGAGCTATTATTATATAATAAGCAGTTAATGCCGAAAGAAACATGTATGGGTTTTGTTACAGTGTTACGTGGCAATCTTTTAATGCTATATTTAGTCTCGATTAGCGCAATTTATCGTTGCCCGACGGGATCATAGACGTAGTCTCTATGTCTATGATCCCCTGCCACCTGATCGGGGGAGGGGCAGGGTACTTTTTTATGTGAAAAGTTGCCAAGCGAGCAGGCGGTTCACATGATGTTAAGTGAATACCGCCGCCCATGGACATCTGCTACACCCGAGGGTTACAGATGCGTTGACAACCTTTTGAAGATTGGGCTCCGGCTACCTCACTCACTAGACGAAAAGCGAAAGTATATATTATACTTCCACTTTACGCCGGTCTCCTGTGAGGTCGTGGTACTTACCCGTACGAGTATGCCCTTTCGTGGTGCATGAAACCACAGTTAAAAGGTATGTATGGGAGTCCCAACTGGTACTCACTAAAAACTTACGTTCACCTGCCGTTGTCGCATCTGCCGGGAACACGGGAACACGTAGACGTGATCTTCCGCGACCCCGGCTCAATACTACCTGCACTTTTACTTTGGTGGAAGTTTAGGGCTGCCTCGCATTCCAATTCTATTGTGTATCTAGGTTTTTCATAAAAAAAAATTTGTAGTAAAAAGGAACGAAAAGTTTTTCGCCGCTGTGGGAATCGAACCCACGTCTTCGGGGTTCGCGCCCTGACGCTCTAGCCACTCAGCTTAGATTTATCTTTGTTTATATAGAGTGTTGCTTTGATAATTACAGTCAGATTCGTTGCAACAGTGATTTTGCTGACTGAACCAAAAGTTACCCGCAACGACAAAGAGTGTTCAGCACTTTAAAAAATAATATCCCTTAAATAGTAGTTTTCTATTAAACTTTGTTATATATTTTTAAATCATAGATATTACAATTTTATTATTGGTATAGAAGATATACATAGATAGATTTTTTTTTTTCGCTTTATTATATTTAGGGACTTTTACACAAATTTGCATATGTCAGTCCCATTGTACCTTATAACTAACATGTTCACAGAATGAAGAATTAATTTCTAAGATTACTCATTGTCAAGGAAACGCAATTGTACAAATTTATATAAATAAAAAGCTGCCTTAGAGCTAGGTTTAGACAAAATATGGTGGAAAGTACCTACATCGAATAAATTTCATTTTAATAATTTGATTAAGTAATCACGGGCTAATTTATACCTCACACATTCTCTTAATATATGATTAACATCTTCATACATTCCACAAGTATAGATAGATATATTTGATGTTATGTACCCCACTGACTTAAATCATATAAAGCCCTTCACAAGAATATTGCTATTAATTAAATAAAAGGCGCATAGCAAAAAACAAAACAAACGTTGCTATATTTTCATCACCTTTGCGAATTTTAGGTTATGGAGGCGCATCGCAAAAAAAAAAAAACACAAACATTGCTATATTTTCATCATCTTTGCGAATATTAGGTTACGGAACCTCACGTTTTGACAAGTTATAATTGAAACTAGCGCCCCCTGAAACCCGGTTTCACACGGCTGGCACTAATTAACCAAAAAAATTTTTACTGAACCTATTACTACCAAAGTAATATGAAGATTGCCTGAGAATATCAATAAAATCGCTCCAGCGGGTTTGGAGTCTATAGAAATGTACACATTGATCTTATATATTACAAAAGTATAGATTGAACTTAAGACCTATTGCATTGCGACCTTTCGCGTCACTTTACAATTGCGCGGTTTAACGGGTGAAGGCTGCCGATCCTAATTCGGTGGAACAAGAACGTGCGAATAAACTCTGATCAGAGATTACAACAACGTTTGTAGCGTTTTGTGTATTACTGGCCAATGTTTTACAACTAAACCACCTGGTTATAGAAAAGCTTATAGAAGGTTATGCTTTCTTCTTCTTCTTTTCGCGTAAAAATAGCTAATTGAATTTCTTTCGACCAGTCTTTGGCAACATCCACCGCTACCGAATTGGCTTCAAATAATTATAGGTGCAGGAGACACGGCGGACATTGCAGCAGATGCGCCATAGTTTGGACAATTTATGCTTTGAAATCTTAATACGCTGACGGGGTAACTTAACTTAACTTATGTTTCAATTATATAGTAAATTCGTTTCGTTAGAACGCGCAAGCGTCTGTTTGTCACATATGGTAAAATACAATTCTCTTAACAAACTTAAAAGTAATTTTACAGTTTTGAAATTAATTTTCACCATATGTGATACAGTGGCAAACGAGTTGGCGGTTCACCTGATGTTTAGTGATAACAGTCGCCCATGGACATTTGCAACGTCCGTAGGATTGCAAATGCGTCGCCACCTTCAAATAAAGTGGTTATTTATTAAAAGGCAATCCTGTTGTATGCGAGTCTCACTTAAATAGTTTTTTATTCTATTTGTTGTTATAGCGGCAACAGAAACACATCATCTGTGAAAATTTCAACTGTTTTACTATCACGGTTCATGAGATACAGCCTGGTGACAGACGGACAGACAGACATACAACAAGTAACAGGGTACGGTTTTGCCCTTTGGGTACGGAACCCTAAAAAGGTTTCACTATAGATTAATTAAGATTAAGGACAATTAATAAAAAATTGTTTTGAGTGGTAAATATCAACTCACATTCATTAATTAACGTTAAAATTGTAATGTTTACGTTTAACTAATAACGCAGACGTGTTATAACTACTTAATGTTATATTTATTCACGTGATATAAATTATGAATAGCATTGCTACTTGTTAATCATACTAAACCATCTGTGGCCTTCGTCGGGGCCTTTCGAGTCGTAAATGTGTTTAATTAATCAACCGACTTCAAAAAAGGAGGTTTCTCAATTCGACTGTATTTCTTTAAGTTAGTTACCTCAGAACTTTCGACTGAGTTAACCGATTTTTATGATTCTGTTTTTATTTGAAAGCTGGTGCTTCCCATGTGGTCCCGTATTAATTTCATCGGTATCGGATCTTGGGCTCCGGAGATACTTAGGAAACTCGAGCACTTAGACGGCGAGATATTCGAATTTTTGTTCGGTTTTTCGGAACAAAAACATGGACTTGTTATTGATATCCTGCTCAGTATGCTATGATAGTTCATTGTCCAGGCGCTCGCATTTAGTTCAATATACTCCAGCAACCTGATTTCGATCCCCGATGCCGGCGACAATGAAATTGTTAATTTTAAGTGCTGACTCGAACCTGTTAATAATTTCGAAAAAAATTCAAAAAAAATATTTTTATTATAGTATGTGAAGACCACCAATCCGCAGTGGGGCCGCGTGATGGACTATGCCCTGATACCCTCTGTGCAGAGGAGGCCTTTGCCCAGCAGTGGGACATTTATAAGCTAACACTTAACTTTTTTACATCACCGCCACAAAACGTCGCCAACTCATGATGTCCTTATAAAATGACATATTTGTTAATAATTAGATATGTCTTTGTAAACTGTCATTATTTTATATAACTGACATTAAATCTAAGTATCATTAGCATTGAAAGTAATTCCTCCTGACCTCAGTTTATTCTCAGATAAGTAAACTAAACTGATGAAGGTTCCGGATCATCGAGGATATTGACTAGAGGTCTATTGATAAACATAACAAACGATCTTTTACAAGATGTCTAGATGTAACACAATCATCCCTCACTCACAAGACGAAACGCTGAAGTGTAACACTTCCACTTTACGCCGGTGTTCTGTGAGGTCGTGGTACTTACCCGGACGGATCTGCCCATTACAGTGAACACAACCTGCTGCCCGAGTGGTTGGATAAGTGGCGGATGTCTGTCAACGTCGACAAGACGTCCGCCATATACATCCGCCGCATCATCAACCTACCTACGCTTGAGCTGCGAAGTCAAGCGATTACCAACCAGAGCACCATAAGGTACCTTGGGTGCCGGATAGACCGCTCGCTGTGCATGGCTCCCCGTGGTCAATCACGCCGTTAGATAAGCCAGAGCAGCTCGAGCCATGCTTTATATGGTCTGGTTTCCGCCTCGCAGAGGCGCAGGCTCCAGGCGCAGCAAAACCTCTCCCTTCGAGTGATCGTGGGGGCCGGGCGTTACGTCAGGAATGACGTAATCGCCAGAGAACTATCCATCAAGGAGTTTGTGGTCCGGTTGGCCCGTCGCATGTACGACAGAGCCGACAACGGGCCACATCCACATCTGCAGAACATCGCACCCCTCCACGCCCGTCCCACGAGAGCTACTACAGTCGGAGGCCACTGGACCCGACCGCTAAAGAAGTATAATTTCTTACGTGTGAACTTAATTAATTCAGGCTTATTTCAACCACGCGTTGACGTCAAAATCTGCACAGACTCTCTAATGTATTATTTACTAGCGACCCGCCCCGGTTTCGCACGGGTGCAATGTATTATACATATAAACCTTCCTCTTGAATCACTCTATCTAGAAAAGAAAGCAGCATAAAGATCCGTTACGTAGTTTTAAAAATCTAAGCATACATAGGGAAGGTCGGACAGCGGGATAACTTTGATTTATACTATGTAAAGATTGAAGGATATTACAATTACATATTTACAAGCAACGGCCGGGGAACATGCAAGTGCAGAATAAGAGACATTGCAACACGTGAGTTATTGTGCGATTAACTATTGCGAATGACCTGGAAAATTAGGTCAAGTGACGAGACGACGCGACGTTGTGCGCTCTTTGTGCACGCGCCTCGTTCCTCTGTCTCGACTGACGACATCAGTCTAATAGAATTGATGCTCATATCTAGGTTTTTTTCATTTCAGAAGGCGGCAAGCAAGCTGGCGGTTGCGTGGTGGCGTCGTGATTAACAGTGTCGTTAATCACAACGCCACAAACTACCCGGTTCAGTTTTTAAGTTCACTTACTGCAAGTGGTCTTCCTACGCATACAATCACGCTCAAGGTCGGTGTTCCTGTAATGCTTCTGAGAAACCTTACTCCACCAAAAGTAACTTCCCTTTAAAGGCAAATAACTGAAGCTGTGATTCTGACCACCATCTACATTTGCAACACGCGTGTGGTTGCGCCTTTTAATAAAGTGGGCTCCGGCTACCTCACTCACCAGACGAAACGCAGAAGTATAAAAATCCTACTTCACGCGGGTCTTCTGTGAGGTCATGGTACTTACCCGGACCTGCCCATTTGTGCAACAGTCGTACGCGCGAGGCTCTACCACAGTTGTTTATTCCATCTAGTTTAATGAAAATATGCCTGTGCACTGGCTTATATGTCGCCGTCTTACTCAGGAGACATTAAGCAGCATGTCTGTGGTTTTCCTATTTTTTCCCTGAAATGTTTAATACAGTTCCATGTTCGTAAAAAACTTTTTGCTGTTTTCGTGAAGAGGGCTGTGTCTCGAATATCAAATTTTGCCAACTTTCAACCAAAGATGGTTGGACTCAATCAAGCACTAACAAGTTATTTTAATCGCAAGGCCACTAAGCCATATTTCTTCAGCAATATATTGTATATTGTTTGTTTGACCATTCACTGTCTGTTAATTCTCCACAGCTCAGGTGAAAGTGAGTTGAGATGGGTTACCTTCACTTAACCGCCTAATGCGCTTTTTTATAAAAACAGCTGTGACAGATTAACAGTAAATGTCACTTCAACCATCGGACGCTTAGACTGTGGTGAAACCAACATTCATAATTATGATGTTGCTACGTCTACGCATTTAAATACATAGTACCTGGAGTACCGAGCTTTGCTCGGTGTTTTTTTGTAAATTATGTATTTTGGAAATAAAAAAATAAAGAAAATGATCTGGTATAGAAAAAAAAAGTACAAAAAATAACTGTGCAAATGATCGTGATACGAACCACGGCCGTCTGTTTTGGGGCTGCCCGATTACCAACCTAGCTATTATAACTTTTTTTTTTTTTTTTTTCTCATGCCACACGGTGCAGTCTGTCGAAACAGGTCGATTACAAAATGTAATTCTTGTTACAGATCACAGATTACGTGAACATTTGTCTAATGAACCGTTCGCATTGACCAGTTAAAGTAGTACTAGTGAACTATTACTTTCTGATTGACCACTTAAAGTGGACCAAAGTGGTCAGACTAGGTTATGCTGTGCTCCAATTTATATACAAACTCTTTGTTAAACTTAATATTTTTATTGAAGTCTACGTAATCAATGGTTACGTTCAGTGAATTAAAAATAAAAATCAAGTTCTTGCGTTTTTTTTCGTTAAAACGTTAATGAAACTTTTCACATTTCATCAGAGTCAGTTAGACAGAAATGTTTTTGGTAATTTTTATTAAAAACAAATCATTGCTATTACTTTAGGATAACACTATCCTGTGTTGCAAGGACGTTTTACAAACATACATTTCACGTGGACAACACCCAGAAGCGAAACAACTATCTGTGGGTCACAGTTGTCCCGTGTGGAAATTGAGCTCACGACCCCCGACGCCGAAGCCAATACCTTGGCCACTGCGCCCCGGAGTCATCACCCTTACTGTATGTTTCCATCATTTTACAATAAAATTACTTTGTTACAGTGTGCGCTGGTACACGAAAATGTAGGCTCTTCCGGGAAAGTCAGACGTAATTATTCAATTACTATTAACTGATTATCGATACCATTAAAATGTACATAACCATTTAGTTCTTCTAATGCATCTACTAATGGCTTCGGCGTCGGTAGTCGCGGGTTCGATTCCCACACGGGTCAAGTATTTGAGTCACCCTCGGATTATTAAGTGTTCTGGATCTAGGTATATTTTCCCAAGGAGGATTGGCGTCAGGCAGTTGGCCGGTTGTAAAACATACAGTAGCCAAAACCACTTACACCATGTTTCAATTGTTGTGTCGACCCCCTCTAGGGTAGGTTAAGGCAGAATGGTGATGATGCTGATGTACAAAAGAAATTTGTATTTGAATCGTGTCATCTATACTAGCATAGAGAGATACAATTTGTTTGTGTGTTTGAATGTAACGGGTAAATCACTGAAAATACCTTAAAAGCTCTGATGTACTTTACTAATGATCACTTTCTATCCAGATGGGGCCGTAACCGAGGGGTGCATCAAGATTAGCTAAATGTTTTGTATTCTATATACATGTAATGGAGACAAGAAAGCCATGGTTGGACAGACCTTTTTTTTTTTTTTTTTTATGTGAAAAGTTGCCAAACGAGCAGACGGTCCACCTGATGTTAAGTGAATACCGCCGCCCATAGACATCTGCTACACCCGAGGGTTTGCAGATGCGTTGACAACCTTTTTGGAAATTGGGCTCCGGCTACCTCACTCACCAGACGAAACGCGAAAGTATTTGTCATACTTCCACTTTACGCCGGTCTTCTGTGAGGTCGTGGTGCTTACCCGGACGAGCCTGCCCATTCGTGCAACAGCCGAGGCTGCTGCGTGGCTCTACCACCCTTGACCGTATGTATGTAAATAAGACACAGAAATATATGTATTTACAATTAGCGGACCGGCAGACGTTGTCTTGTACACACGACTTAAATCCGATAATTTAAAAAAAGAAATTGTGAATCTAAACCATTCTCGAATCGACCTGAACACACACAAAAAATTTCATTACAATCTGTCCCGTCGTTTAGGAGGAGTTCAGTGACATATACACGTACAGAAGAATTATATATACATATAAAGACTACAAAAGTACGAGCTTATAATCTGTTATCTTATTTTCATAAATAGGAAGCGTTGTAAAATAAAATTTTTGATAAAATTGTTAAAACTTTCGTGAGACATTATTAACGAGATAATAAGACAGCTGAACTCTACCGACTCTATGTACCGAATAGTTTCGAAGGAACTACGCCTAGTTTCTGTAAAGGATATAACAATGGATGCGCCAAGCATCGCTTGAAATGCGGAAAAAACAATGTAGATAAAAGACGTTGAGATTTTTGTCGGTGTGGCAATCAGCCGTTTAGCTTAGTGGTTAAAGCGTCTGGGGTATATTATTCTACACATCTTAATTGCTGATTTTGTATTTCAACGTGTTCAATTTGAAAGTAGATTTTTGTCGTGTTCTTTCATACTTGCCATTTTGACTGTCTATATAATAACATATGCCGTGATAGCTCAGTGTCCGGGCGCTCGCCTTTATTTCAATATATACTCGAGCAACCTGAGTTCGATCCCCAGTGCCGGCACCAATGAAGTTTTTAACTTTAAGTGCTGAATTATCACGTGCTCCGCGGTGAAGGAAAACATCGTGAGGAAACCTGCATATTTTCGAAATAATAACAAAAAAATGTATTTCGAAAATATGTGAAATCCGCCAATCCGCAGTGGGGCCGTGTGGTGGACTATGCCCTGATACCCTCTGTACAGAGGAGGACTTTGCCCAGCAGTGGGACATGTATAGGCTGTTACTTTACTTTACTTTTATATAATAACAAGTATTTTTTTTTTATAAACGAAAAACAAAACCGACTTCAAATATCTCGCTCTATAATTGATTTTCAGGAGCTCCGTACGTATCTCCGCAGCCCAAGGTCCAATACCAATGAAATCAATAGGGACACACGGGAAACACCTTTCAAATAAAAAAAGAATCATCAAAATCGATTCCTTCAGTCAAAAGTTCTGAGGTGACAAACATAAAAAAATAAAAAATAACATTTGAATTGAGAACCTCGCACCTCTTTTGAAGACGGTTGAATATTATTAACAAACGTGGCTTATTTCGTTACTTTATATTTATGTTATTTAATTAAGATAAGTAAATTTACTTTTATCTTAGATTATCTGTGGGTGTGACGCCGGGGCGGGCAAGTTTTTCAACGGATAAAAAATAAATTGCTTGATTTTCCTTGAATTTTTCGTTGAAACGTTGTAAGCTTGCAACGGTAAATTAGATGAGACTCTTATTCGGAGAGTAAAGTATTTTTGGAATCAATGATATTTTGAATTCATTAAAATAAAAGTCTTCCGTGAAATGGATTCTTGAAACCTGCTGTTTTCAAAGTACTTGCTTGGTTTTCTTAACTGATATTGTATAGATACACATAAACACTATTGTATTGAGTTAGTTGTCAAGGCTTTATAGAAGAATGGCTAATGTGGAAGGAAAATATGTATAAACATTATTTTACTGTATTCGAAATATTTGAAGACACTGATATGTGGAGAAGTACGGCGACCCATAATACTGGAGCGAAGAGGAAGAATTATATTTCTGAGTTGCGTCTCAGCAGTGGGCTAAACAGAGCCCACTTTTATAAAGCTAGGCGACGTATTCGTTACCCCATGGCTGTTATAGGTGTACAAGAGAAGAGTAAGGTAAACAGTATTAGTAATCACTACACATCAGCGTTGTCAGATTAACAAAGAAAACAAATTTTAAGTGTAATGGAACCTTACATAAAGTAGTCAGGCAAAAGAAATTAATTGAAATTTTTAGCTCCGAAACTTTAGTTTATTTTCAATCTTATGGTTTTTTAGTATACTTGGTGCTGTATTTATTTCTAAGGCACTAAGGTGTTAAACATCTGAGTGTCTTACAAATAATTAGAAGAATTTAACACACCGAAGGGTGTTCGGAAAGCTCATTTTCGTAGCCCATAAAGATGCATACTTACAAAAGAAACTAATAATTTAAAACATGTATGAATGAACATTTCGTGGAAGCGAAATAAATAACGTTAAAAGCCAAGAAAAACTGTCGTCGCGAAATATTTCGCTTTTACAAGCCTAGCTTGGCGAAATGCCAATTTGCCAGCAAGCCAAAGTCAATGTCACAATCAGCGGC